TTGTACGCTAATTGCGCCTCGCTGGAGCACGGTCGTTACATAGATTTTACAGGGTGGATCGGCATATTTCGCAATTAGTCCTTTGGAAAATGTAAATGTGCTTGAATAATGCGGGGATATTTGTATTCATGATTGGACATTCATATTAGAACATGATTTATAGTCTCATGTTTGCAAAATAAATTAAGGGTATTAATTTGTACTGGGTGTTTCTAAAATATGGCGCTCAACTGAAGCAAGAGATAAAATATGTCATTTTAAATAATTTTTGCTATACTTTCCAAAACAGGTTAAGAGTAGTTCTCTCTTCAGTTTGACTAATTCTGATATATCACGTGGAAGGTATATTACAGTAGCAAACTGGTACACACTGTTTTGATATATCTGACCTGTAGCATATGGAAAACAATAGCTTTAAAACTTCAATTCCAATACGATTACACTCAGGTATTAGCTGTAATACATCTGGCAATATTAGAATGTAACTGTTCTTCGTTCCATTCAAGTTTTCAAGTGGTAACTGTTTGAAGACCCATCTAATACATTCACCTGGAATCTTAGCATGCTTGCGGCAATTTATGCGTACTACAAAGTGCAGATTTAAATGTCTTGTGAGATTGGAATGTATTTGAATTTGTTATCTTACTTACGATAAGTGATGACAGTTAATATCTCTAATATGATCGTTACTTAGGACAACGATAATTTGAGATATATGTCTACATTATATATGGTACTGACAATTACATAATAGAATATTATTGTCTTTATTTCTTAGTAAAAAGTCAACTTTTTAAAAATATGGCAAGATCCGAAGTGAGAATGACACGTCTGTTATGTTGAGTTGATGTCAACCATAGACCTTATAAACTACTGAACTCAGTCATCTGTCATTTTGCCTATATAAATGGCAATCGCACAGACGTGTGCGAGAGAGATAGAGCTAGTGCGGGCTTATGCTTCGTTCACAGAACTTCCACTGTAGCCCGCTACATTTAATTCAACCAATCAGCTAGCTATACTCGATTCCTTACCTCTTTTTTCTATTCCCGTGTGAAGTTAAAATGATTTTCATTACATTTTTGTGTGTTGGCTACACTGAAAGTATGGTCAAGTTAAAAAATTTGAAAAATTATTGACTAGGTTTTTAATTATATTCAGATGAAGGGTAGAAGGGACAGTGTACGAATTTCTGATGTACAAAGACTTTATAAAAATAATATAAATAGAGACTAGAAGACAAAAAATTCCATTAAAAATGTGTGGATATATTAATTCTATGAGTAAAACTAAAAACTACACTTATAGTATTAAGAATTCTTTATTTTAACTCAAACTGAAGTAAATTCGATTTCTCTTCTTTTAACGATACATATTTGTACCAGTAATTTTAATCATTATTAATGAATAAAAATAAGAACATAAGCACTATTTGTTTATATGGAATTTCTGTACAAATTGGAGGTATTAACGGGGGGATATAATAATTAGAAATTTAAAGTCAAAGACATTTTATTATACATATTTAAAAAATATACATAGATACAATTTTCTAAATAGTTTTTATAATGCCTTCTTTATGTATTTCTCCATTTATTTTCCTCATATCGTAAGCTCGATCAGTTAAAATTACTACAAGCTCTTCTGAAGTAGTTGTTTTAAATAGGTCATATTATCTTGCTTTGCAAAACTATATCGATGCTTTCGTTTTCGACATATTATTTAAAGAGAAGTTTTACTGAAGCATATTATAAGCACAATTCAGTTGAAACTGTTTATTTATCGTATTTAATTTGATGATAAAAAAAAGAGTGACACATTTAAGGGGGCAAAATTTTGACGTTAAAATGACATTTTATTTTGAGGAAGGGGGAAATATATGTTATCATCAGTATTGGTCATTATTTTCAGAAAGATGCGAAAAGTATATAAACATGTTGGTAGCATCATAACCTCTTTTCTACCTATGAAATTTTATTTTTTCTCCACTTATTTTGTACCGGTAGGTATACCCGTGTACCATTATTTGTTTTACCGTATTTGCCTGCACTAGCTTCATCTGCCTTGCACACATCAGCGCGATTGACCTCTCTTTCTAGGGCCAGTCCATAGTTTACTAGGTCTATGATGTCAACATATTGATCTGTCAAAAGCCTTTGACAGACTTGATCATGTTCTGTTCAAATTCTTGACACTAAATTTTATATTTTCTTCAGTAGGATCCATTTACTGCTTGGGTGATCCCCGCCTGAGTTAAAAACGCGAACTTATTCATGTCAGCCTGTACTATACGTACTCAATGTCAATGAAATCTTTCTTTTGGGATATCTCGCACGCAACACATACGGTAGCTCGAGTGATACATCATTCTGACGGCGCTGCAGCTACCCTGTAGCTGCAGCAGCGCATACTAATCTAAAATTTAACCTACCGTAGATACTACTGTGTATTAAAGCGGACAGCAGTGCCGTAAAACACACCGACTACTAAATTACATCCCAGTTTTTTGCTCTCCCGCCCGTAATTGCGCGGTAGCGTACATATTAAAGCTATAAATTATGCGCCGAGTTGAAGAGCTAAGACTTTTGCAAAATAGGTGCATTACGTCGACGTAGTAGTAATGACCATATTCTGTATAAATTGAGCAGGTATATAGCGATAGCCGCGCGTAATTAAACTCGATATAAGACGCAGTTTTATGTAATAGCCGCTTTCACTCTTCGTCGCCATGAAAATTGGAAAGAGCCAAGAGGAAGTTCGATTGCAAATCTACCGAGCTAACTAACTAGCAAAATTATGAAATGTACAAGGAACTAATAAACAAATGGACATAGTGTCATGACATTAATCTTAGCGGCGGCTTCTAAAAGTGTCCCAAAAGTAAGGCAATATTTGAATTGTGAGCCATTGTAGTAGTGTAGAGTGTGTATCTGAGACTGTGCGAAAAGATTAGTTGCCAAATTTAAATAAACAGGTTCGGTTGTAGACAATAAAAAACAGGCCAGCCTTGTTCTGGCTGTTAGCCCAAAATATTGCTACGGTGTACGTAAATAGTACACAAGGTTCAGATTCAGTCTGTACAATTTCATCTATGACAATTTGTTGCGGGTTGCCTAAATATGTGAGGTCACACTGAAAGAGTATTTACTAAAACAAGATGGTGAATACACTTTTTTTTGAGGTATATATGTTATCTGTTCACTGAATTATGCCCAGGTCCTTGTGGCTGCATAAACATGCCATGTCACTGGATCAATGAGTACCTAATTAGGTACCAACATCAGCAAAAATAAAATACGAAATAACAAGCCTTGCACAGTGCATACATTGTAAAGCGTTGCTTGTGCAGGAGCAAAAAAAATAAAACTAAAAATAGAACCACAAGCCTTAATTACGGGTTATTCCTGCTGAGATATATTATAGGCCATGTTCTAGTGTCAAGAACTCGAAGCGCTACCGGCTATGAGATTTTCAGCCTCGCATATAAGATAGATAATCTGTCTGGTGAATCGTAATACCGGTATGCCGCGTAATTCCATTCTCAAATTCAAAATAGGGAACTGTATACAGTATTGTGGTAGTACAGAACAAAAAATAGTACCTGACTTGATAAAAAATTGTCGATTGTTAATCCAGTACATCAGAAGTTCGACAAAAAACAATTTCCACTTACACAGAGTGTTGACAAGCTTGAAAATGATGTTTGAAGAGTGAATAAATCGAGGTGCAAAAATCATTTGGCGGCGATATGTTTTTCAGATAGAATTATTTTTTTTTAATACCTGCACTATGATTTACCACACTGATATGATTAAAACTTGTTTAGAACCGCTGACTCCACTAATAGCTATGCCAGGGGCATACTGTGCTTCCACAAAAAGCAAACACTGTTAAAATAAGAATCTAGAAAAATAAATGACTTCACTTAAACATTTGTTTGCTAATAATTTTCACAATAAAATACACGTTTCTGGTTTCTGTAGTGAAAACTGAATAAAACTGATTATTACTTAAAAACGGAACAAAGAAGCGCTCGACACGCCATTTACGCCCACAACTATGCATCTCTTTTTATGTAGTATATAACTAGCGATGATTCCAGAGGTTCCAAATAAGTTTTAGCATCTATAAGAAAATATTTTCTTATAGTTATGAAAATTTGTTACACCATGTACCTCTACCTACACCTACTACATATTGCTGCGTCTTTACAATTATTTTTCCCATAAGCATGCTGTTACAACAACATATAAACCCGTTTGCTTTGCCTGTATAAAAAATCTACGAAGTGCTCACTGTGGAGAATGGTATTACGCGCATAACACACCGCGATCTTCAATGTATGGCACCGTCGTATCACTGCTGCCGTGCTCCTGCAGACCTGCATTATCCACAGGCTACTGGATATATTTATGTACATGTTCGTTCACCGCACTTTGCAATTAAATTCTATGCGGTAATGTTATTGTTGATGGAAAATTTATGGGCTTGCAGTCATTTAATTATTAGATAAGCTAAAACACGGAATATTTACCGGTGACTTAACGCAACTAAGGGATGTTGAATTGCATGCGGTGACTCCAAAACAGGTTCCGAAATTATGTTAAAATTAGTTGTTCCTTGAATTGTTTTAGATAACGTTTCGTATAATTTTAAATAAATACAAATTTAAAAAATTATAATAATTGGTATTAGGGCATGTATGTTATAAAATTTGGAACGTCAACACAATGTTTTAATACAATTTTAAGTTTGAAAACTGGTAAAAAATAAACTATACCATCTGTTGAAATATTCTTCAAACTAGAAATTATCAAGAAATGGATTCTAGAACATTTTTTGCCGCCATCTCGAGACATCGATCCAAACTAAATTTGATTCCATCTATCGAAATATCTTGTAAATACCTGCAGCTATAAGGAATCTGTAAGTTGCCAACAGCGCCATCCAACAGGCAAAGTGTAAATTAAAAGAGACGCTCACAGCGCCATTTTGAAAGTTTAATAATTGTTTTTAACTTTGTTTTGTGTGTTACACAAAAAAATAGGCATAAAATATCGAATAATGGAATAACAACTGAAAGGCCTTTTAATAACGCAGGCGGCTATAAGAAAATGTTATCTGGTGAGAAAGACAGTCTGTCAAGTTAAACAAGCACAGCCAAGCAGCTCAAGGTTGGTTTTATTTAATGTAAAGATTTAGATTTACTCTTTTAACTACGTAATATAAATTACAGGTGCTAATTTAATTTTTTATCTACAAGTGGAGCGTACGATTGTTTATTCTCAAAAGTACTTTGTAACTTGGAAACCGTAACAAGGCATTGAACACAGTAAACGTAGACTTTTTACGTATATACATTTATTTCGATAAAGTAAGTATTAAATATCACAATGGCAAGCAACATAACCCACACAAATTTTACATCGTAACAGTCAGTCATCTACTGGTAAAGGTGGGACCGGTTCCGATTCAGGTACATAACCTCGTCTATTGTAATTAGCGAAACGTCTCTTAGGATTAGGCATGCATTTGCATTCGATCTGATCAAAATAGTACCCCGTCGAGCACTGTAGGACCTCTCTGCATTGGCAGGCACATAATTCGGAATTCCACAGCTTTTTTGAGCTTTTATAACATTTTGTTTCCTCGTCGCTATTGGTGCAGATGCATCGGCATAGGGACGGTCTGTATTCTTGATATTTATTGCAGTTCTAAAAATAAAAAACAGTTAAACGTAATATTTATTGGAGCAGAGAATAATAATTTTCCACTTCTACTTTTCTCTTAGTATTTTGCTATTGTTAAAGTAAGCATCGCAATTATTATTATGTCCCAAATATCGACAAGGTATTTGACATTGCCCACAGTTTTAAGGCAAGTTAGGTCGCCGCCGGCCAAGGGGCAATACAGACAAAAATAGTCGATTTGTTGCTTGATGAAATTCATATAAATAACAATTTCTCAAAGTTAGGGGTCGATATTTGTGACAAGTACGTCAGCTATGGATACAGAAGAAAATGGATATGTTTTTAGTAATTATTAATCGAAAATGAGCGTCGACACTAACTAATTGTTAGTTTAAGGCATGAAAAAAAATTTATATACCGCTATAAGTACCTCTTCCTTGATTTTACAATCACATTTACACTTATTATGTTTTTCCACAGTAACAATTTCTTTCCCCACATATTTCAATTTCCTGGTGTCTGGTTTGTATTGGGTTTTCGTGACCTACAATTACGAACAGTTATAATGATATTTTCGATGCTGTCATAACCTATAATTTTTGAATTTTAACCTAACCTTAAAAGTTAAGGTTTCGATTTCTTGAGGTTGGCAAGACAGTAAATCATGAGAGCAACATCCCCCACACCTTTCAACTTTAGTGCATTGTGGGATGTATAAAATGCTCGGATCGTCAGTTGTAGCAAGCGACACTGTCTTTAGTTCGGGTGTGCATCCGGCCGCTTTAGGGGTAACTGCGGCACCTAAAAAGATAAACGTAATAACTTCCTAGAAATCGGTAATTTAAGGATACTTACTTCTGGCTTCGTAGTCTTCACCAAATCTATCTGAAATGAAAATGTATCATTAGTAATTGAAGCAAATGTGTAGCCAAACTAAAAATCTATGAAGGGTACCACCTTATTACTATAATTCTCCACAATGCGTCTACATTTTTAAAGAAAATTGTTCAAAATCACAGCAATTGCCTGTAGTCCCGCAGCTATTACAGGAAATTGCTGAAACTGTCTGCAACCCTGTTAAAAAATTCCATGTCTTCTCAGAATGGTCAGAAATTTAAGTTAAATTTAAAAATAAAATTAAAAATTTGAATTTCCATATAAAAAAATTATTCGCAATAATTTTAAAGCAATATCTGGTAGTCCTAGTGGTTGCCAGGCAATTCTCCCAGAAATTATGAGATTTCCGCAAAACATGTACATTTTTTAGTAGTGGTATAGTCTTTCCGAAGTCAGTTGAACATGTAAAAAAACGCCTGGCAATAAAATTTAATGAGTTTCATAGGCGTCCCTAAAAAAGTTTTCTGACAAAAGGTAAATATTTATAATAATTTGCAAATAATGTGCATAAAATTTCTATTACCTATATGTTCATTTGGCCAACAACATATTTTAATTATTTATATCAAACAAATTTATTATATTGATGGTAAATTTCATTTTGTTCCGTTTCAAAAGGTCTCAAAAATGCCATGTAATAATATTATTTCTCCCTTTCGCAATTGTAATATCAATGATTATAATAAATTAAAATTACCTGAATTACACCAAATTTCGCATTGCTGCACTGCACTGCTGGGCAATTTGTCAACCACTTGTCAACGCCTGAGATTTATTGCCCAGTGGCCCAATGCAGCTGTGTTTGTATTTCGTTTGTCCGCGCTCGCATTCTTCAACTGCGCGTATACATTTGTACCACCTCCACGTGTAGTTCGACCAGACCTGTATATGGGTATGGCTAAATAAATATGGGGACAAGTTTTTCAAATATTTCAACGCCGAGTTGCTGCGTCAGCGACCGAACCTGGTACATACTATCAACTTCTTGGTTCTTCAATTGATATCGGAAAGACTATAACACTGCCCTCATTATTTTTATCTGTATCGTCAAAATAGACAAAAATAAGAAAAAAAATAGAAAAATTATTACGTTATTTATCGGTTACAGAAAATGGAATTCACAGATGCTCAGGTACAGGAAGCCAAAACTTTTGGAGAGTTTTACGTGGACATGATGGAGAATTATAGAAACACGGTGAAATATTATTTATCCGAAGACGTGATTTTAGACTGGTTCGGTCAAACAGTCAAAGGCGAACAGAATGTCAGTGTATTTCTTAAGAAAACGCTTTCATCTGTTAGACATTACCTTTCGGATGCTGCGCCAGCCAAGAAAATAGGATTTAGAGACACTCATGTTGTTAAAATTCCGAAGTAAGTAAACCTGCTTGGGTGGTAGTTCAAATATTTATATTTTTTACTTTTAGACAGTCGAAAAAAATCCCATTGGGATTAATGAGCCCCCCGAGAATTTCTTACCAGAAAACCCAGACAAAAACGCCTAAAAAGTCGTCTGATCCCTCCACCAGCTCTAGCAGCTTAAGAGAAAAATGTAGCAGGAGCAGAGAGCAAGGCCAAGGCGACGGCTTCCATAACACCACGGATTTACCCGTGTCTCCGGCGAAAAGATTTAAATCGGCCGAAAGCGACTGCGTTGAAAATGACGTTGAAACCGTAGAAGGCGAAAGTGACGTTACCCCAAAAATAAAATACATGATCGCGGAGGGTTCGTTAGAATTCCACAAGCCCAGCCTTAAAAAACTGCAGACGGAAACGAAATGGAAGAGGCCTTGTAAGTTAAGTGTTGCCTACTCTTCGGTAAACTGTCATGACTGCGTTATATATTTGATTATATACGAAGGTAACGTTAAATGTAGGAGGAATCTCATGAAGGAGTTCGAGGCTGAGGAGCCGGATAATTAAATCGTTCCTTTATTCTAAGGTTAAGTTTAAGCTTGAACATTGAAATGTGAAATCAAGTGCTTTAATTAGATATTTTATATTAAACGTAAAGACGATCGTGTTTGTGTAAATACGATAAACGTGAAATATTATCAGTTGTTATAACGTTGTTTCCACTGCAAAATATTGGAGCAGTACATCCTGTGAAAAATTTTAAATGCCGGTCATTTAAGATGGAGAATAATAATTTTTTTATGTGACGGTTGTAACCTGAAAGTGTTGCAAGTGATTTGTAATAAACGTGAACAAAATAATTTATTGTATTGTTAACTGACCGAATGACCACACAAGGACATAAAGACATAAGTAACAAATTAAATTCCAAAAAAAAATCAATTTGTCTTTTAATTTTGGTGAAATGTATTTTACAGGACATTTTTGCAATTTTAACGGGCCATAAACATCGTAAGTAAATGAAATTAAATGTGTTTTCAGAAAATCGTTTCTTAAATAGACTGCACAAAGCCTACTGCAATTTTATTTACCAGTTTTTGAACAATCGTATTAATAAGTTTTTTTAACCGAAATCGAAATAACATTTTTTTAAATCTCTTGAAATTTATATTCAAATATAAAAATGTAACAGTTGCTGGTATGTTTTCATTTTCAGTTTCATTTTCAGTTATTTACTTTTTATTCATTTAATTTTTCCCAAATTAATGTTGAATCATTCACAGGTACACAAAAAAATTCATATACTTTTTAACAGAACATGATACCCCCTATATTTTGACCCGCTGAAGCTAAATTCCCTCTAAGTGCGCGTATGCGCGGACGCGTACTAATTTTTCGAAAGTTGCGCAGCCGTTCTTGTATTCTGCGCACAATGGACTTCACCATTTTTCTTAATTTTACTTTATAAAAGAATTGCATCTAAAAATGGCAAAAATCTAAATTTCACTAAAAGAAAAAGTAAGATTTAGGGGGTAAAAAAAATTTTTTAACATTTTTGCTCCCATATAGTTTCGTACCGTGCAGTAAGCAAAAAAACTAGAGGGAATATTGTGCAGAAGCTATTAGTAATGTTCCATCAAGCCAGGATTTTTCTCCAATTTCAAAAAATAGCTCAAAATCTCGATTTTTTGTTAAAATACTTATGATTTTGAAATTAAATAGGCATTAAAAAAAATGCAGGAAAAATGGTTTTTATTTTTAATTTCAAAATCTTAACTATTTTAAAAACAAAAATCGAGATTTCCACTGATTTTCAGCAATTTTTTGAGGTTAAGAAAAAATTCTGACATGCTAGAGCATTTCTGATGGCTCCATCGTCTTCAGCGGGATAAAATACAGGGGGGTATAATACGCTGTTAAAAAATACATGAACTTTTTTTATGCCTGTGTAATTAAACGAACATTGTTTGTTAACTTAAACAGAATTGTTACTATAATTTTCCAAAAATTGAGATTTCTTGTAATTTTGGAGAAGCCATACTTTCAAAATTACACATTTTATGCTCTATTTAATAAAGACTATTTGCACTTCACTTGTTTTTTACCCACTGTGTTAATGACGTGTGCCTATATATTGAAACACTGTATATTAGGATAGCCCAAAAAAAAAGGAATATTTTTTTTTCGTGTCTTGTGAAAATATGTTAGTTTTATCATGTTTTAAGAGCCCCCTCAAAAATCAGCTCAAAAAAACTTTTTTAGAGGTCCCTCAAGATTTTTAAAAATTTCCAAAATCGTCTAAAATATAATTTTATAAAAAAATCGCGATTCTGAAAATTTCAAATCGATATTTTAATTTTTGAAGGTCACTCATTATTTTAACTCTCAAAGTAGTGTACTTATGTTTTCGAGGGACCTCTAAAAACAAATATCAGCGAACTAATAATTTATTTTATTGATTTTGATGAACAAAAGAATAGAAATAAATCATGACACTTAAATTCTAAAAAATTAAAAAATTATAAATATTTGATGCTCACAGTGCGGCAGTAAATTTTGCCTCGAGAAATTTTTCAAGTGTCGTGATTTATTTCTATTCTTTTAATAATCAAATTCAATAAAAAAAATTATCAGTTCGTTGATATTTATTTTTAGAGGTGGCTCGAAAACATTTTAGGTACACTACTTCTAAAGTTAAAATAATTATGAGTGACCCTTAGAAATTAAAATATCGATTTGAAATTTTCAGAATCGAGATTTCTTTCAACCTAGAAAATGATAAAATAACGAGAAAATAAATAAAAAAAAATCAATTTTTGACGATTTTGGAAATGTTTAAAAATAGTGAGCGACCTCTAAAACATTATTTTTGAGCTGATTTTTTTAGGGGGCTCTTAAAACATGATAAACTAACATATTTTCACAAGACATGAAAAAAATATATATTCGTTTTTGTTTGGGCCACCCTACTGTATACATTAGATTTTATGCAAATTTTTTGAAAAAAAATTAAGTGCAAAATGTGGTAAAACAAAATTTGATATTTAAACACTTGACTAGGAAATAATTAAATTATACAGAAATTTAATATGGTGTTTTTCCATTGTTAAAATTTCTTTTTTGTATACAATGCTTCAAGATTTACTTGAAAGAGAAATTTTATTGTTAATTTAAGACAAATATCTTTCCACTAATGAAATATTTTTATCTCTGTATTTGCACTACTAGAACTTTATATTATACCAGTTTCCATTCCACTTATGATGTCAGTTAAGCATATTGGCCCTAAAAGTCGGTAACTTCCCTCATACTATTTATGTCGACTGTTAGAATTAGTGCAATTTGTTTGTGTTTCTAGACATTGTATATGTTTTGTGTATTTTTTTGTACCTGGTTAGTGCAAATATGTATCATAGCTTTATAAAATTAAGAGTATAACTACTACATTTAAGAAAACTAATTTTGTGTCTAAATGAAAGTGAAACGGAAGTAATTTGTTAAATGATTCTAAGGCCTCTTTCACACCGGACGGAAAATCGCGCGGACGAATCCGTCTAGTGTGAAACAGGTCTAAGAAAAAGCGGAAAGTCTTGATTATCAAATTACACTATCTAACTGATTTTAAAATAAATGTGATTTCCATGTGCCACATCTAATGTGATAAATTATATTTACAAAATGAAAACTATAGACTGGTTGCCGAAGTAAACTAAAAAAAAAAACAATATTGTTATTTTTGACTGGGATTTTCAACATTTATGTGTATGCTTTATCACTTTCAATATAAAAAGAATAGGAATAATCTATGATCACTTCAAAATTGCTATTTGTTTTTCTCTGTGGTTGTTTGAGAAACAAAGTATAAAAATAAATTGTTGTACGGATTTTTAAAAAAATTTTGACGTATGCCATAAAGACAATTGAATGTAGCATTTCGTAGATATAGGCGTTTGTGTATCAACATATTTTTAAGAATCCTTACAACTTATATTTTTAACATTTTTCGTCTCTCAATAACAGAAAAAAAAGGGGTCAATTTTTATGTGATCACTCTGTATGTTCATGAAATACTGTCGGAAGAAAAAAAAATTTTTTATTTAATGTGAATCAGCAACTCTAAACATATTTTTAGGTATAGAAATAAAATTTCATCTTTATACTTAGTTGGATTGAAAAAGGGTGTTTTTACTCAAAAACACGTATCAATATACAGATTATTGCACACATGTTTAAGGGTACAAAAAAATAGTCGTTTTTAGACACGATTTAAAAATTAAAAAGTACATTTTTACCATACATTGAATTTTTCAGTTAATTAAATAAACTTTTAAATTATAACTCTGCACCATACTTATTTATTATTTTTAAATTGGTCGATTTTGTGATTTTGAAAATCTGAATCTCATAATTTAAGCAAATTATTGTTAAATTGCCACACTAGAAAAAATTTACATTTTCTGACATATGTGACACAAAATCACACACAAATTTTGTGAAGCATATGCATTATGCAGTAAATTTTTACTAATTAGGACAATAGAGATACTTTTAGATCTGAACTTTGTTAATTTAATAATTAGTTATGCTTTAAGTAAATTTATTAAATGTAATACAGTTCTGACGATTCTTTGAAAAGCCGATCTTTTTCATGTGCCAAGTGATGAATATTGAGGGGGCCATATTATGTACATAATAGGTATTTATGTTGATATATTTTTATGACATGTACATTTGTATATTATTTTTTTATATTCGAAATAATGTAATAATTTGTTAATAAATTAAATAAAACTTACTCTGCACAAATATGTCTTCGTAGTCTGTATCTCCTTCCACAAAATTTAGGAGCAGGTCACTTACATTATATTTGTTAATGTCCATAATAAAATCCAGAGGAATCTGCAAAAATATAATTGATCAAAAATGATTCACAAAGAGAATATTTTTTCTAAGAGGAAAATTTAAAGGAAAGAATATAAAAATTTAACTTAATTTTTTATTGGCAAACAAATATATTTTTTTTCATATACTGAAATATATTACAAATATGGATATTGCAGACATATATTTCCTAGAAAATGTATTGAAAAATATTATTTGGGGGAAATCCTACAGGAAATTTATTTTCCTGCAATAGTTTTGCAAGCAACTTACGGATTTGTTTCTATGTTGGGTATAGTTACATCATAAAATCAATTTAGTGGTTGAATCTTTATTTTACACAAATATCTGCCAGTAAATTTGAAATTAAAAATAGTTATTTAAGTTGGGAATACCCATAGCAACACATTTTTGAAATGTCACTGACTTAATATATCTAGGTATAATTTACCTGCAAGAATTTGTTTATTTTGTAATGAGAAATATTTGAGCATTCGCAATTAAGTAATATATCCAGAACTTGTGGTCAATAAATTGCACATATTTTTAATGTACATAAACATTCTCATGTATAAAAAGTATAGTTTTGCTTTACAGTCGGTTTTTCCCTTGAAAAAAACAGTAAATTTATTACTATAACTTATAAATAAATACGGTACCATACGACGGTAATTTTATTTCTCCTTGCATAATTTAGTCAAATAAACCCAAACTTTTAATACAGGATTATATTTTTCATAGTACTCGTATTGTTAATTACACAAGCACAAAAAAGTGACCAGTTCTTTTGATCAGACCCTATCATCCTCAAAAAATGGGTTATTTCGGAATATGCCGTTGTGGGAAAAGCTGAACTGAATTTTTGGAGTAGATCCAGAACAAAGAAAGCACACGATTGAGCAAATCCCGAATCAAATCGATGATGACTAGGCTTAGTGCACGTGCAGAGTCTAACAGCCGGCGCGAGGGTCAGTGGCCTTCACAGCTGACTACGGTCCTGTTAAACTCCGCGCCGCACTAAGCCTAATGATGCCTATGTTTTTAGACTCAAAATATGTTATTCACGAAGAGCTTATCAAACTTTTTACCGGGAATTTTCAAACGTTTATAGCCCACTTACCTTGTTGCTTGAAGAATTTTTATAATAATTCGTCAATTCGTCATTGTAGTCTTCTTCATCGTCACCAGGTCGCAATTCCTCTTCCCTGCGAGGAAGAATGCCACTATATGGAGTTCTGCTTCTCCTGGGGTCTTCAATGTGATGGTGATGACGCTGGTAATTCTCGAGCAAGAAGTCGTTAGGGAACATTATTCTACTCGTTTCATCTGGGTGTCCTGTCAATAAATATTTACTAACAGCATTAAATGATAATACAGTTATTTACATAAAGATTAATTTTCCAAGAAATCTTTATCCAGCTCTCAACAAGACAAATATTTGAGTACGATAAGGTAGAAAAGAGAAAATCCAAAGGGGACCAAAATGTGAAAACGGCAATCTTTATTTTTGTTCGCGACTGTACACAGCAGCAAAATAAGTTTGAACAAGATATTCATTTTCTAAAGAATTAGTAGCTATTAATGTTGAAAATGTTAGGACTGGTACTGATTATTTTAGTAATAGTGTACTTGTGATATATTCTCTCAAATTGCATGGTCAAATATTTAAGGATATAAGAATTAAATTGCATAGTATGAAAAGATTTTTTGAAAAAGTTTATGGAAATCCTTACGATTGTATACAGTTCTGGATATACACATATAAAAAGCTTTACATTTAATGAAAGTATAACCAAAAATTAAAAATTGTGTATTACCTACATCATATATTGAAAATATGTAGATTTTTTAGAAAAACTGCGAATTTTCTCAGATCGTGTAAATCGTGTAAGCTGATGTGATCACAAATTTAAATTCATTTTATACTAATATAGGCCAGGAAATATTGATGCTAAATATTATGTACAATAACATTAGTTTCCACAATCATAAAAATGGGGGGAAGATTGTTTACAGGCTGGTTAATTGTATAATTTTTATGTAAATTCACGTTTTTCGCTTATAACTTTTTTCCATTCATTTCCACAAGAAAACAGTTAGGTACTTTTTTTTCGTCTTCAAAAGACCTACAAAACTAGCCCGAGCGTCAAAAAATATTGATTAGATCAACAGAAGAAGTTTATTTATGACTTTTGAATTAAACATTTTTTACAAACTGCGTTATTATTACCAGAACGTTTTGGCATCGCATTCTCTCATTCCTTATCACTGTCTAATAACTCACACGAAATCTGGAATCGGTAAATTGAATAGTTTACAAGTTATGGTCTTATAAACAAATTAACTAATTATTAGTCTGGACGATTCCGAGCATCTTCCACAATCGCACTGATTTTTTTTCATGGTAGATTTCATAATACATTGAAATCTATCATTTTTTTTAATTTCAAATTTGCAACCTTGAAAGTTTTTTTATTTTTTAGTCTTAGTTGCAAAATGAAATATACGACGCACGCGGGTGATATAGTTATATATTATTACAGATTCGGAAAGCTTATGAAAAGAGCTTTAAGTTAAAAAAAAATCGTCAAGATTCGTTGAAAAACAACGGAGTTACAGACTGTTATACAATTAACGAGCCTGTAAACAATCTTCCCCCAATTTTTATGACTGTGGAAACTAATAGGTATGTTATTGTACATAATATTTAGCATCTATAGTGATAAATTCAGTTTGCCGAAATAAAAAGTCGCGAAATGGTCGTTTCCCAGCTCTTTTCCTGGCTTAAATAGTGCTACTTCCGAATTAGGTAGGTATTTACCTGAAATTGAACTAAGGTCGTTTACAATTTTATTATCAAATATTAGGCCAATCGTTATAGCTTTTTTTCGGGAAAAAAATACTATTAGAAGTTTATCTACGGAATATTGTTCAGAAACGTGTTATAAACAAAATATCAAAAAATCAACTCGAGACTAGTTGGGAAACTTTGTTAAAACAACGGTCAAAATTATGTAAAAGTGGTTTTTTGACTCTCGTAAAAAAAGTGTTATTCATAGAGAAAAAAGGTTTATACAAAAAAGGTAGGTATTAAATAAATCTATAAAATAAGACAAGTCCGATTAAATTCCGATAAATTGTTTATGCGCAAGAGCTCAAAAATGGTCGAAATTGTCCGCTTTTTTCAATTGCTAATAATTTATCCAATTTTCATCGCAGACACTTGTAATTCAGGATTTTTGAGGCTTTTTGCACCCTTAATAAGTAGTAAAAGTTTCAGCCCAAAAGCTTCATTAGCTTGGCATTGGCGGAATTTATTATCTAAGAAGATGCTATTTTCAATTCATTTTTCCCAAGCTCACAGGCGTTGTAGGGTTTCGATCATTAGTTGTTTTTGTACCTAAATAGTTGTATTGACAAATGCATTTACTGATAATTTAATTTTTCAAATTTAATTTGTTTAAAAATGACTGAAAAAATGCTAATATTTATTAAATTATTAAGCACGCATGCTCCGCCTCGCCCTCCCCACTCGTTCGCTGGACCAAGTAATAGAACGCATCGCCGCTATCTTCTTTTTCGCATTTAAATAGTTGAATTTACCTTAATGTTAATGTAGGACCTGAAAATATAGCTCTTAATGTATACTCTCTCCAAATTTCGGCTCTTAATATTAATAATTAAGGTCACTGCGATTAAATAAAAAAATATATATATCTCAGCTTCTAATCAACTTACAACTACGATTTTTTTTTATTAAATTCGAAGAAAACTAAAGTATAGAGGTTACTATTTTATTTTATAATAATTACATGTCTTAACAATTTTATAAATATTAACATCTTTTCAGTCATTTTTAAACAAATTAAATTTGAAAAACTAAATTCTCAGTAAATGTATCTGTCAATACAACTATTTAGGTACAAAAACAACTAATGATCGAAACCCTACAACGCCTGTGAGCTTGGGAAAAATGAATTGAAAATAGCATCTTCTTAGATAACAAATTCCGCAAACACCAAACCAATGAAGCTTTCGAGATGAAATTTTTACCACTTATTAAGGGTGTAAGAGGCCTCAAAAATCCTGAATTACAAGTGTTTGCGATGAAAATTGCATTAATTATTAGCAATTGAAAAAACGGCAATTTTCGACCAATTTTGAGCTCTTGTGCATAAACAAATCATCGGAATTTAATCGGACTTGTCTTATTTTACAAATTTATCTAATACCTACCTTCTTTGTACAAACTTTTTTCCCTATGAATAATAGTTTTTTTTACGTGAGTCAAAAAACCACTTTTCCATAACTTTGACCACTGTTAAAACAAAATTTCCCTACTAGCCTCGAGTTGATTTTTTGATATTTTATTTATAACAGGTTTCCGAACAATATTCCGCAGAGAAATTTCTAATAGTACTTTTTCCCGAAACAGGCTCTTTCATGTCTATAATGACTGGGCTATATACACAATGTGACATTTCATGAAATTACTTGGAATAATATTAATATCACTATCTAAAATTATTTTCAATGGCTTATTATTATTTTCAGTACCTAACGCATGTCAAAAAATCGTAATCATTCTGCAATAAATACCCTTTATTATTAATGCCTTAGAAATTCAATTTTGTTTTCTTAACTCATTATTTGTATAAATTATGAGCATCTATTCTCACTTTATACACGGTGCTTCAGCATCAATTGGACAAATCTAAAATCGAGTTTACGAATTTACGAATATGCAATATAATCTTTCAATGCGTTTAATAAATCAATGTAATTAGAAAACACACTTTGCGAAATGTAGATACAGGTAATTCCACTTTTTTTATGTCAATTATGTGACTGAAATTCAAATGATATTGTCAAGGTAAAATTTTGTTGATATTTATAGTTATAATTAGATTATAATTAACACCAGAAGTACACGTTGTGTTTAATGTTCTGTGACTAAAAAAAAAACGGAATTGTCATATTTTCGAATATATTAATTGTGAAAGCTGATAACTTCCCTTGAAAATTTCGTAGTGCTTTTAAAATACAATATTAATATTCACATAAAAATCCCCCGTTGTATAAACAGTTACCTATGAATTTAATTTACACTTACCTAATGTTTATATTATAAGGTTATTAAAAATTCAAGTATGTACCTGAATCTTAATCGTCATCAACGTCATCTACACCTACCTGTCCCAATTTTCGTTTCTTCGCTGTTGACCCGGAGGAGAGAGCACACCGTCACTAGCACAATTAATTCGAAACCGATCATGTTTGTTTACATTTACGGATTCAATTGTCACACATACACCTTGCGAATGCTACACCGTAGTAGCTAGTCTTACACTGACCGCAGTGGATAGATGCACAAGCCAGGCTGAGGCAAAATATTAACACTTGCCTTGCTTTTGCGTTGATGGTCAAGTTCCCAAACCATTCACAGTGGAGAAGGACCTAGAGTTGTCCGTACACTAGAAGAATTTGTCTCGCAAAAAAAAACACTAAAACGTAGCGTTGAAATTCGGTTGTGTACAACGCGAAGCATTCGCAGTTTCTTTGAGAACTTTTATTAAATTACAATGGTACTTTGTCAAGGTCAGAAGTGATAAGGTCGTCAAGTTTTGTAGCTTCGAGTGAAGTTTCTTTTATTTACTGTAATTGTTAAGTGGCCCACTAAAATATACTGTACTATTTTTGGAATTTCATTAACATGACAGGAGTTTTTTTACGTTGTTGAAACTTGTTGAACCAGTGATTAAAATAAACACAAATATACATAAAAGGTGATTACCCCTGGGGTTCATTTTAGAATCTGTGTTGGATTTTCCGAAAATATTATCTTATTAATTAGGAATCCTCAAAAATTCATACTATTTCAGTTTACTTAATTTTCCTAGATCATATGCATTTCTTCATTAAATCATATACATTATAGTGTGTGTAATACTTTAAATTATTGCGATAAATGTAGGTAAACGTTTTGTAAAGACTGGCATAGTAGTAGGTATTGGAGTAAAATCTGCAAATATCAGAAAATATATATTTGCAATAGGAAGTCATTATTTTGTTTTAGTCAGAGGCGCACCTAGAATTATTTTTCAGTTATTTATTAAATCAAGTCTTAACACCTCATTTTGATTCAAAACAAGCAAAATAATCACGTTTACTCTGCCATTTTGTAATATGGTTCCAACAATACTTTGTGTAATTTTCTCTTGTTAAGACTAGAATGATGACATACCATGTATTAATTTATATTTTCCTGGTTATGAGTACTTATTATTTCTTCTTGGGCTTTGTTATTAATACCTTCTATTTTTTGTTACTAATACAAGTAGACCAGGGCGGATCTGTTTTGAGGTGGATGTGAGAGAGGGCAAGCAATTTTTTTCTGGATTACCTTCAGTACAACTCACATAAGATAAGTGTAGATTGCTAGATCTGGGCGAGGTCCGGAACATTTTCAAAATTGCAAAAATGTTTAAAAAATTTAAATAAATACCTATTTTATCTGAGTTTTTTAATTATATCTTGGAACATATACATTTTGGAAGAATATTGAAGAGGAAAAAAGTTTTAGAATTGAATTTTGCACAATATACTGTAAGTTAAAAATGTTTAAATTTATTACCGATGTTGCAAAATAGCAAGTAATTGATGAAAAATGGCAAAATAATCAAGTATTTTGTATAATTTTTTAAAAATATCTTAATTGCTCCGAGGGCGTTTTAATTTTGGTAAAAAAACTTTAGAGTATAATAAAACCACACCAAATTTTTTTTGAAAAAAATTTTGAAAAAATTTTTCGAATTTTCAAAATGTTGCACAGCCTCAAATAAAGCATTTTCACATGGAAAAGACCTCTCAACCTTTCAAATGGTTTTTAAAAAATTGAAATCGGTTGGTTAGGACGGCCACAGTAAATTTTTAAAGTTAACACTCTTTTTTTTTTATTTTTAAACAATAGAAATAGGTATATTTTTTTAAAGATCTAGGGATCTACACTTTTATTATGTGAGTTGTAGTGAAGGTATTCCGGCTTGCCCCCTCTTAAATCCAAGAAGAGGGATATTTCGACAGATCCGGCCTGGTCTAAAGAACATATTCAATTTCAACTAATATTAAGAAAAGTCTGCAATGTTATGGGATAATTTCGATTCATTAAAAAATCTTATAATATTTTTAAAAAACGTCAAAAAAATCGTCAAATAAGCAACAGTTGGAACAAATTGTTGTACCACAAAAGTAGGAAATATGAACCAAATGTGATGAAAAACCTCTAAGAAGTTATTTTCTGAATTCTTAATATCAGTTTCAGTGCTGGTGATAGGTGTCATTTGATTTTTGTCGCAATTGTTTACAAAACGTTTTATTTTTCAACTTGGAACAAATTTTGAAAATGTTATTGGTATAAAACCAACTAGTCGAAATTTCATTTGACGACACACGTAGAATATCAAGAAATATTTCATTCATCTTATCTGTTTCACAGGATATGTTTAGATTTCCACTTTAGGTAATGCTTCTGTAAACCGCATTTCATTCCATGAGGTTATAATATAAGAAATTATGACCAGAAACTAATTTTAATCAAAGCTGAATCATTTGCAGACATATTATTGTTAATAATAATCAGTAACAAAAATTGAAATCAAAAGTTTACACGAATAGTATTAGCAATTGATAAAAATAATATAATAATAATATAAGAGGCTGCTTGTCACAGAAATAGATTTGAAAGAGTATCATCAACAAGCCAAACTATCGAATAAGTTTTAACTAACTGGGAGAAGAATTATAGTGTAATTAAAAAAAGAGCCTAGTACGAAAATTTTCAAATGAAAAGCGCAGGCATTATAACGGTACAAAAATTAGTCCTAGAAATGGTACCTATAAAGAAATATCTGCGTAAAAGAATATCTTCAATATTGCAACGACATACTATTATTATTCACACTAATAACAAATTATAATTATGCGATATTCTTATTTTCTTAAAACGTCAATAATCCAGTACATTCCACGAATCTTACATGATTAATTTCACGTATCATTCCGCTATCTAATCTGAATTCGACATTTTTGTCATAAAAAATAATCTTAACGTCATTTAACATCGTAACACTTCCTTCCTCTATTCGCAAATTTAACGTGTAAATTTCAATTAATTCGGGTTATTAATAAAACTGACGGATGTGTACCCACTAGAATACTAAATACATTGCATATCTTTGCCTCACTCGATTCCTGTGGATTTTTGAAATTCAGATGTTCTTTCTAAACCGCAAAGTATTTGGACATCACTTATTTTCCATTGTAAGTTATTTTCATGAAGTTAAAATTATTTAATTAAAAGTTGTAGATCTTGAACTTTTTACATTACGGTTATTTTTTTATGAATAATGCATTTTGAGTAAATTCTAGTATCTCTTGTAGGTACATAGCGGCAACAACGTTGGTAATAAACTATTTTCTTTTTTTCCTTTTTGAGATAACAAAGACGAAAACGTTAAGTTTTAAATTTATGTAATTCTTAAGTTTGTATCTTCTACTAATCATGTAGGGAGGACTAAATGTTTGATTTAAAGGAGATATACTGATCTAACAGTTCTAACACCGTTGCAACAAGCTACACGGATAAGTCAATAAATAATATAAACTTCTGAGAATTCTGCACAAAAAATAACTATAAATAACACGCTAACTCAAACGACAATGCCTTTTGCATGAATGCTATGACAATCGCACACAATACACGATTAAGATAAGAATATGTATTAGTTCCAAATAAATTGCTCCAGTTGTACAATATTACGATTGATTAGATAAATAAAAATTTCCTGTTCCTGTTACGTGATTTTTTTACTTCTACAACATAGTCAACCCAAGTTATTAAACTGTTTTTCACGTGGTTGAATTTTTATTTTTGTTCAAAGCGATGGTAGATATAACTATTAAAAACAAGAATATGAGAAAATTTCTTAGAATTGTTACAAAATTATTTAGTGATTTCAATATGTTAGGTATTTTTTTCTTAATACAGCTGTTAACAATAAGAAAATTCTATTAGTTTCGTTACATAAGCTCTTAAATATTTTAAGTTAATATAAGCTTAATAGAAGTTTCGAGTCATTGTTTTGACGTTATGAATATCAAATGAAATAAAAATTTAATGTTTATTATTTTTTTTTCACCAGTAATATGTACATAGCACTTTTAATTATTATATTAGTGCCGTTTGTACAGGTACATAAACTATGAATATATAATTATATGAGTCATAAATAGGGGTCCCTAACAACATTGGAATTGAAAATGCCAATCCGCGTCCTATTAACATTTTATCTCATATGGAATTATCTTATATTGTATTAATTTTATTAAATTTCGGTTTTAGATTTTATATTTACAGTAAGCGGATACGATACGGCATCGTCCATAAAATTAATTCCTGCAATATATAATTACTTTGACATGTACAGAATTTTAATACCAATCCGTCGACGTGTATTGCGGTTAAATAAATAATACGACAAATGAATTAATCAACGCCAGTTAGGTGAGTAATCTAATGTTCTATATAAAATACAGGAAAAAATGTATTTAAACATATGACAAATACCGAAGAAATGGACATATACTGCAGGAAGCAGCAATGGAAACTATTTTCCAAATTGGCCTTAAGAATATTTGATGTTAAAAATAAGTATTAAAATGTTTAAATAAACTTTATTATGGTAGATATTTTTTTCATCAAATTTTATTTTTAATACGTATGATTATTTGGACGACGTGAATCTTTGGGTAGTTTAATTGCATATTTTTCACTCATAATTTGATTAAAAGTTAAGTTCCTGTTTTAAGAGATTCATAATTACTAAAATTCAAGCTAAAATTTAAGCACAATATCTTCGTATTACAAAATCAATACATTATATTTGATTGACTGATTTTTAATCGCTTTGGGTGATGTCGAGTAACTTTTTTATTTGTGATTCTTTAAATGTTTGTAAAGGTACTTTTTGTTCAATTTTTTGCTTCTTCATCAACATAATAACAATAACGTAATCATTATTGTCTTGACAGTTATTCCAACTGACAGTCACTGGTCATATCAAAAATATTATTGTCGATTACAAATGCAAAAATATATACCTACAGGGTGTTCCTAAATATCATGTACATAAGGGAGGGGGTAACTTTTTGGCTTATTTCGTGACTAAAAATTCATATAAAGACAGATAAACGCTTCGTTATCGATGTACAGTGTTGAAATTTAAAGAATTTTTTAGTTTTTTCTCTACAGCTCTTACAGTTTTTGAGATATTTAGCCCAAATTTGGAATATAGGTTACGATGTAGGGCTTACATCACTTGGCATGCCAAATGGTTGAAAGATTCTACAGAGTGATATTTTTTCGGGAATTATGCCCCCTTTTCTTGCCCTGAACATTACAAACTGATTTTTCTGTAGTTGCTGCTTTATTCCAACAGTTCCAGTCAAAAATATGAAGTCGTCAATTTTTACAACAAAACAAGCATTAAAATAATATCTGCATGAGAATTGGATGATATCAATGCCGCGTTTCGTATTCCTACATGCGACTATTGTTTATGTAGGTGAATTCTGGTTACCAACATTACCATTACCAGAACTCGTCACCCATCCAGCATTGTTGTCATTGTCCCATCGACAATAGCAACCAAGCGTACCGACGCTTGCGCCCGAAGTCCACGTTTGATCAATCGCGGAAGCACAGGTAGAACGCAGCTCGAACCATGAGGCTACTGGCACTATTTCCACTCCATAGACGAAGTTTAACAAAGACAGAGTCGTGTTTCGCGTTAAGGCCCTCACCAGCGGGCTCGGACTTGCTTCCTGGCCACCCGGATCGGGATGTCATGGCAGGCGGTGGTGCTGGGGATCAGTGCAGTGCTCTGGGGTCAGTGCGGTGCCTCCGGGAAGGACGATCTGGATTTCACCACGGTGGACGTTGCTAGACTCGCTACGCACGCATACGGAACAGGTGGTTATTGTTTATTTATACTGCGTCGCGACGACACACTCCGCTGACTTTTTAGGTCAGAACTTTGAAGGATTTTTATGTTTGTCGGTGACCGGTCGTGTATTATGGAAACCCTTCGCTTGATGTAGACATAGGGACTCCCACATGCATTCAATGTAAATTTTTGCGCTTGAATGATTGAATCCTAACTTCGATTCAAACAAAACAAAAATGTAATTTTTCATTTACGTTTATATGTACAGGGGTCCCGATACTTGATACAAAAAAGTCGAGTACAAATAGATGAGATCAAAATAACATCAGTTCTTCATATAAATTTTTTTCATATAGACCTTCGTTAACAAGTTACGGGCCGCCTCAAATGTGAAAATTATAAAATTATGTGTGTGGAGGTGGAAAGTGCCTATATTGAAAATGTATTTTGACAGTTTTCTTTCTTTTAAATTATTTTTTTAACTTCCTTTAACTTATTCTTGATTTGTTTCTCTATTTTGTGTTGCGTGTAGTGTGTTTGTCAAATTTTGTTAGTGAAAATTACATTAGCAGACAGTAAAATTTTGTACTCTTAGTTTTAAAAATATGTACGGTTCTAACATAGTGATTATTTTCAATGAAAATTAAAAACAAAAAATGGTGGAGGCGCCTCTCGCTGTGCATTGTGACAAAATCATAAATATTTCCTAAACTGTTAATTTTACCGAGTTGAACCAAGAGGAGATTATCGTTGGCAAATTCTTCAGGGAACTTATTTTTGATACAGGCATATTGCAATCGTCATCTATGCAAAAATTTTGAGTTGTTAACCATTGGGCATAGTCCGTCCCTGGCGTTCTTGGCATAATGAAGCTTCACTTAATCATCAAAAACAAGCCATACACATGTGTTACCGATCACCAAATTTGCATCATGCTGAAGTTAATAGTTTAGAGACTGTAAATAAAAATAACTTTTTAATTTTCACCTTTGAGGGCCCGTAACTTGTTATCGAAGGCCCGTATGGAAAAAATGTAGGTATATGAAGAACTGATATTATTTTGACTTCATCTATTTATACTTTTTGTATCAAGTACTGGGACGATCTATATATGTGATTCAACCACCTCGTGTAAAAGAAAACGATTTACATCAAATTTTGCTTGTAATGGAGCGGGTACAGATTGTTGTGTACGCAATAAGGATTTTTCGGGTACAATTTATAGTTTCATATATAAGGTGTTAAAAAAGTGTGAGACATTTTAAAAGCAACGATTGTTTCAAAAATTAGAAAACGCACATGATAACACAAAAAAGAAAAAAAGAAATTTGAATTAAAAATTTTCAATGATCTGTGATCTCTAAAGCGCCAAATGTATGTATTTGGAGTTACTGATAATGTTGATCATCTTAGTTTTTCTCTACATTCTAGTTCAGCAGAAAACGTAGGATTCGAAATCTCGACATGCATACATATGTTCCAGAATATTACTGTAGACATTCATCGAGTTTCATCCTACGAAATTCATTTATATTCGATATCCTGACTATAAATTTCCTTTTTCCCAAAATGGCAGAGGCCGGTGCAAGGCACCAGGATCTCTACCAAAACAAGGTAATCGGACCTACTTAACTGGGAATTGATTTAATTTCAACACGTAGCAACCTATCGCGTAAGACTGTTTGTGAAAAGGAAGACTTTGATTGTCTTTCGACATGAATAAACAGGAACTGCGTTTCATAGTACGATATTGTAATACGTTCCATTAATAAATGACAAATCAATGCAATCGCAAAGGTAGGTATAGCACGAAAGACTTATGGTTGGAAAACCTCCATTCATATTTTTATTTTGAAATACTTGTCTATACCTACCATGTTATAATTCAGAGTTTGACATTTGCGTGCAAAGTTAGTAGCGTCACGAAGAAATTTCAAAATACTTCACTTCAAAGGGATTGAAAGTACATTTAATCGCTGATATATTAAAAATGACACATTATTAAAATGCAAAAAGGAAGTTGGATGTAATATGAACGTAACGAATATTAACGATTATATCTAGGAGAATTATCATTTAGTCATGAGTAGAAATGTATTAATCTTGTTCTATTAAGCATCAACTTAAAGGTGCTGACAAAGGAATTTTTGTTAAGCTTTGCGTATATTTTAACACTAGTAGGATTATATAATACAGACTTCCTTATGGGTCGATTTTCCTCAGTGATCAGAATTTAATAGTCGCTATATATTACTAAATTAGATTTAGGAGAGTACGGAAAAAATTACAGACAATCAAATACATATCCAACCACAAAGAAATCCTGAGTTGCAGCTGTTGCATACTACATGATTCAGGGAAAGAAATTGGTATTTTTTATAAATATTTCTTTCAGTAATAAAAGGTATTTACTGACTTAAATAAGATATATATCTAGAAATATCAGATTTTACTTTGATAACACGTAATTTTATGAACATTTAATCGCCCAATTTTGCAGAACAGAATAAATTTTCATTGTGTCCAACAATTTTTGGAATTATCTTTTCCGACGTTTCACGGTAAATATTTTACACGAAATAAAACTGTGTCAAAAACTCACCAGTGACCAATTTCGCTGCTTCAGTGTACATTGTGTGCATTGTTATGCTTATTAGCTTATTTAATGCAACCATTTCATCGCAATGGAAAACATTCGTCATATTCCTCATGGCAAATTGCTATAAACATTGTAATTGTAATTACTATTGAAAAAAGCTGAGTAACGTACTAAAAATGTGGCAATAAAATTGAAATAACGTTTTGGATTTGTATTAGCCATAAAAGAACAATGTATAGTTTTTTTATAAATTCACAAAACCTTCAGCTTTGCTTCATATCGAAAAAATGTTCATTTTTCAAATAAATAGGTCATTTTCTGATTTGTTATAAAATGATGGTGTTTTTGTACGACATACAAGATTTATTTTCAGTTCCAAATATTTGCACGATGCCGTAATTGATTCATCCTTCGCATCATAAATATAGGTCAGTCAAGCATGCCTTAATATTTGCATTCATAATAATAACAGTCTGTTGCTATTAGCAGCATGGTATATTTACAATACATCGACCCACAATTCTAAAGCTTATACAAAAGGTACATTTCAAGCGAATGAATGTTTAAATAGATATTTTAAATTACCATTATTAGCATTTTTGTGAAGTAGATCCATCAAAACTCTTTCGACTTTGTATATTAAAAAAATATATATTTCAAATCTTCCCGCAAGTGTTGACATATGATTTAAAAGCCCCTGTATTTACGTCACCTAAGTACTATTATTTTTTTGGGAACTTTCTTAATTTTAAAATCTTTTACATTTTCATATTAACTCAAATTGATTGAAAAAACAGGAATTCAGACCAAAGAAATTTTGGAAGATGAACAATTTATACCTTTTCAGAGATAGTACTCCTAGAAAACACCTATAAAGACCAAACCGCGTACAGATTCGAAGACTTCTTCTGGACAGGATCCGGAGATGGCGCGTCAGATGACGAAGAAAACTGGAGTTCCGAAAGTACCACCACTACAGTTTACAAGACTAAAACTGTGTTGTCCACGGTGTTCATCGAATCACCGCATTCTCCATATAATGAGGTAATAACGAAAACATGAGTAAATTTTCAAAAAATATCAAAATTGCTCATACAATCGCCAAATGATCAAAAATAGTCCTAAGGAAAACCAACTACACAATTTAAACAATGTAGATAAACGCTGGATAGTTATTAAATATCAAGTAACATTGTATTGTCATAAACAAAGTTGATGAAGTCGGGACAGACATAATGGTGTTAAAGAATTTTTATGTGACGTATTACAAGTACATGTGTAACAAAATTAACATACTTAATTATATGCTACGTAATCACTGTATTTATTATTGTAATAAATTATAATTAGGTATGAAACGACTAATGTGGTAAAAATCTACGTAGAGATGATTCTGGTGAAGTTACGTCAATACGGCTACTGGATTTCGAGATACAGGATACTCAAAACTCTTTGAAATAATTAATAAATAAAGCACACAAGTTTTCAGTGAGTCTGTTTCATAAAGTTATCTTTCAAGAAAGTATTTTCCCTTGACAAATAACCCCTAGTCGTCACCCCTGTTGTTTTATTTGTTTTGACAAGAGGAATTAGCCCTGATACGCTCTGTGTGTGTGTATTTTAGACTGGAATAGAAACCACAACTAAATGTTCACACGACTGTGAAGCCCCGCTGACACCAGAAGGTCAAATTAGCCCCAGTCCGACGCTGACGTCAACAACGGAATTCGTCGACGAGGGCGAAGACTTCTTCGACGCCGATCGACAGTTCTGGTTACTTACAGTATTAAAAAGTGATGGGAGAGACCCTGTCATTATTGATCTCAAAAATAGCTTAGCGAAACTCTACAAAACTGCATTTCAAAGGTACTAACTTGCTCCAGTTTTGCGATATTTCCCCACATTAATTTCTTTTTTGTTTCGTCCATACCAAACGTTAGAAAAGTGTACAGTTATTTTTCGTTTTAGGCAGCAAGAACGACATTTAGGAATAAATGGCCGTATAAAACGCGATGTGGAGGACAAGCCAGTAAACGTTTATATTCACAAAGTTAACACATCAAAGACAAATGGCGATAATAAAATCGAAGTTCTCTACCACGTATCAGTGGATGGAAAACCAGTTTCGGCTATTACAGCGGCAAATGATATGACTTTAGTGTCCGACGAAGAAGTCAGGCAAGAACTGGGATACCCATTTGTTATAAAAGCAGAACGTAAGCATTTCAAATCTTCTTGTCTCAGATTTAACTGTACCAACATTTAGCAAATATAAGAATTCCGAAATCTAAAACTAACTTGCAATATTTAATATACTTGTAACCGAAAACCTACCGGTAAAGCGGTTTTAAAGTATAATAAATGTTTGGTCGCGATCGCTGGGCGCTGGAGTGGTCCGATCGGGGTGGTTTTGGTGTCACCGTATTTCACTGTTACGTGGGCAGCAATACGGTCATTAATACAAAATATACGGTGGTAAATGTGTTTTTTTTCTCAGCATATCTGAAGCCCTCCGAACCTCAAAGCCTATCCCGAGCCAGGAATACCTGGATATTCATAGGGGTATCGATAATCGGTCTGCTGATATTTCTTCTGGTGGTGGCGTTTTTAACTCTCGGACTAACGAAACGGAAAAGAGTTGGTACGCCCGTCGACGCCGGCACCGACAACCGACGCCATATCTTCGAGAGAGGTGTGGGTCAGGACAGGGGATTGGTACGTGACGAGCAGAAGGTACGCGCCAAGGCAGATTCCCCTACGTACATCAACTTCAAGAACGACAACTCCACACTGACGAGAAGTGTCGTTGCCACCAGCAGGCCCGAGAGTTCGATAAGTTCGACGTCCTCTAGGTTAGTATGCGATATAATAAAACTGATAGTGTCGCGATTTATTGGTTTAGCAATTAGGGTCAATTGTCAATTGTATCATACGAGACCATCGTAAATGAGCTTGATGTTGCCATTATAGTGAATTTGTAGTAATAAATGTAGTTATAGTAACGGCTAAATACGTGACGTACAACGTGTGAGTTTATTTCTAGCGCCATAAGTGCGATTCAATTTAGAAAATTATCGTATCAAGTCAATACAAATTTTTCTGAAAAATTTTAAAGATGCTCAATAGGTAAAATTTTCTAGGAGAGTAGGACAGTTAATAGTTCCCCTCTAGAGACGCCTCTGGAGGTCAAAGTATAAAAACAGAGTACCTAAACGTATATGCCTACATATGCTAGAATTTACTTATAAATTGAAGTCGTTTTCTATAAATGAATCACAAACAATGGAATTACAAAGATTTCGAAATTTGATGCTCCAGAAATTCATAATATCATGCAAAAAATTTACCGCTAAATTTCAACCAACATTCACACATTCACTCGCGAAAAGCGAAATTGGTGAATCTACAATTGATTCCGGGATCTACATTTGATTTCTCGGTGGTCTCAAACCTTATCACTCGAGGAATGCAACGATAACGTAAATTACCGAATATTTCTAGAGATACTTGTCCCTGGTTCAACTCACCAACCAACGGATATCAACGAATTTAGTCACTAAGTTGATCACGGCAATCAATATAACTCCAATTAGTCACTTACAGTCACTATCACTAACACTCTTTCATCACTAAACCATTGTGGATGTCCTGTTAGGCTGCATTTGCGGAACACTGAAATAAAAATATTATATTAGAACGCTTTGTTTTCGAGATACAGGCAAAATTTTTCGCAGAGTTGACTTACAAATACGTCAACCAGTGATAGAGATAACAACGGAGAATTAATGTCAGTAGGATATAGATATCTCGAAAACGAAGCGTTCTATTCTCATTCATATGAACCCATTCCCGTAAAATCATTTGTTCTGTCACCTGACTCAACCCATATAAAAAAAACCTTTAAAGGTCGTATTAAATATGATTAATGTATATGTTACTTAGCTCTGGCAGTTTGGACATCTCGCCGCTAATGGTTCTAAATAAGAAGCGCCGAACCCCACCGAAAAAACCACCAAGGCCCAAAGGAGCCATCAACAAGACTGCGCCAATCAACTTAAGAAAAATTCCACCAGAAGTGTTCGACTCAGACAGCAGCGTCAGCCGAAAAGAGTCTCCCGACGCCGTATTTTTAGAAAATTACGACCCTGGAGTGATCAGTCCAAAATCTTATTTGTCCATGCCTTCAGTCAAATCATTTCCAAGGTAAGGCAGAAAATATTTTAAAAAACATCTTTAACAAACACATTGCAGAGGAAATATGCCGGAACCTTTAAATAAGGTCCTTGAACCCGTCAGCGTTCAAAATTTGGACATGCCAGATGAAGAAGAAATCGAAAGGAATAGACCAGATTATAGAAAACAAGGTTTAATAAGACACGGCAGTGTAGGTGCAGTTGAAGATCCAGGCGTTATTGGACCAATAGTGTGGAACATGCATTGTCAGAGGTTACATCATGGTAAGATAAAAATAAAGCTTCCACTTGTATCTATTAGAATTAGGAATCCACATATTTTTGGAACTAGCACAGCACAAAATATATTTATATTAATTAACGCATTTTCGATTCCTAAGAAATGTAATTTGGTATTGAAATTACAACCTATGTCATTTGTTGTCAGGGGTGAGTGTTGATGAAGGAATCGATGATCTAAAAGTCGCAAGCAATATGTCTAGAATGAGAAAGAGGTTCCACGACCTACTTGATGATACTTTTAGCTTGTTCGGAAGCAGAAGAAACAGCCCAGTGGACTATTCTCGATCTGACCAAAATATAAAACCGACGCCCATAGAAGTAAAAAGTCATTCGGCGGCTAATACTAGGTAAAGAAACCTCTTATATTCGAAGTCTTTTCTTTGAATGAAAAGGTCCTAAATTACAAAAAGGTACTTCTAAAACATATTAAAAGAAAACCTATAAAAGAGTAGCATTTATAGTTATAGTGAAGAGTTCTTAAATAATAATAACTTAATTATTATTAACATTAAAGGTTCCTCTGAGAGTTTGTAACACCCACTTCACATTAAAAAGTATCACACCTTTCTAAATGGACCAGAATTGGTTTTCTCGTAAACGGCTAATTTGTTTTTGACGATATTTTTCTTGAATTAGATGTTTATTTGTCACAATTAGTTGTAACCTCGGTTGTAACACTATATAATAAAAAATATATGTGAAATCAATTGCATGCACTTCAAATAGAGTAACAAAAATGTATAAAGTCGGAAGAGGGCAAGGAAATCAGGGTCTTGATTCTGCGATTGTGCCAGATAAGACTTTTTTTTTATTTTCGACAGAACTATAAATAATAAAAAGATAATATGGACGAAAAACAATATTATAACAAACAAGCACATACTTAGTAACATTATTAATTTAATTGTTAATTAAGTATACACAATAAAAATATGAATCTAAAATAAAAGTGTACCTACTTAGTTTTTTTTTTGTAATTTCAATACAAATTCATCAGTACAAAATCATTTTAAATTATGTGTCGACAGATTAACACATTTTTTTTAATTGTCAGCACAAAGTGTACACTCTTTAATTGTCAGTAACTATAGTGGTAACATAAAACTGAATTACTCGGAAAATACGTTATATCTCGAAAACCGTTAAAGATGAAGCCAAATATATCGGAAACGGTGCGGGACAGCTACTCTTTTTGTGTAAAGAAATAAGAATTTGATATCAAAGATGAGATACTTTAAAGTACAAAAAAGTTATGTCGTTTTCAACACATTCAATCTACGGCAGCTGGCGCCCTCTATGAACTATAACCAAAATGTGAACAAACCCCAAAACTTTGTGTGGATATTTGCATTTATTAAGAAATTAACGGAAATAAAACTAAAATAATATTTTACATTTAACACCCTGTATCTCTTTAATTATCAACTTTTGGACTAAGGTAAGTTCGGTTAAATCGCAATATTTTTGTACCGGGAATCTACCTATGAATTTTGACCCATTACCTCAGGACCACCCTGTATATAAAAAATTCATAAAAAATCTGTTTTGATGTCCTTTCCAAGTACTGGATCAAAATAATTCAGTTATTTCAGTTTGAGGTGAAGGCATTTAATGATCTTTTGACTTTTACTGTTTGTAGTGACCCCTGACCTTTTCTTTAGGCCAAATGACGACCTGAAGGCCACCACGCCGAAACCGCGTCCGAAAACATCAGGACCTGTAAAAATGGAACTAGGGACCAGTGGCCCCAGAGGTGCCTGGTCGAGTAAAGCGCCCTCTCCACTCGTAAGACCTCTAAGCGCGGGTATTATCAATCCGTATCCAAGAATAAATGTGGATCACGTCCTTTCTGAAGGAAAGTTCAAAGCTAATGATCCAGCTGTGCCATTGATAGCCGCTATAAAATCGGAAATAGAAAAGGTGTCGCTGCCGGGAAGTACGACAGACTTAAGGGACTAATTTGTATAAAATCGCGAGTGACTACGAAACTGTATATCGTCTAGTCTTAATAAAATATCACGTCGACGTTGTTTTATTTTATCCTCACTATTAGGCCGCAATTTTTTATACATATATGACCTTAACTGCGAACTTGTGAATATAAATCTTAATTTCCCTTACCTTTAAATTATTCGTGCTCTTCATGGATATTGGCTACATTCACACAACGACAACGTATCTTTTCGATCTCCTATGATGATTCCTAAAACTCGAAGACATCGGTCTAATCACAAACGTGATTAGACCGACCTTACGTTAATTTGTTTGTCATCTTTGCAAAAAGTCTGACTTTTATATTATCACTTTCCTTCGCTAATGCTGAGGGCATTATATTTTACTTCATTCTGAAGTCACAGTATTGTTAAGTTTTTAACAACATTGTATTAGAGATGCATGTAGATGTGGCTGTTATAAAATTTGAATCTCTCGTAACTCTTTTCTTCTTCTTCTTCTCACATACTTGTTTAATCTACCCCTGTATTGCTGTCTCTACGTGCCACGTGCCAGGCCAGATGGCCAGAAACAAAATTAATTAAATTTACCTACATCTACCAAATTAAATAAATAAGTGGAAAATTCTTGAATCTTAAAATTGTCAATTAAAGTTTAAATATTTGTATATTTATTACTTCAATGTAACATAACCAGTGTCAGTGCTAGAAATTAAAACTACTTACTACCCAAATAAAAATATGTAGTAAATTGGTGTTATGATTGAGATGTACAGAATGAATTAAGGAATACAATTTTAGTTATCTATTTTTTAACACTTAACAATATGGAAGAAGTTTTACCAAGCACGAGTACTGAAGTCGAATCTGAGGATATATCAGAATATGAACCTGAACCAGTAGAAAAAATAAACAAGCCAATAAATGTAAATCCTAGGTATTTTATTGACAAAACAATAATATCTAGTTTTCTAGATGGCCCCGGGTGCAGTTAAGCTACGTTCTTGGCTTAATAAAACATTCAGAATTGAGATGACGGATGGTCGAGTTCTTATAGGAGTCTTTTTGTGTACTGATAGGGACGCAAATATTATTCTAGGGTCTTGCTCTGAATATTTACCAGCAGATAACAAGACAAAAGCATTGAATGAAGAACCTAGAATGTTGGGCCTTGTAATGATTCCCGGTAAACATATAGTCAGTGTACATATTGATGTCAATGAGTATGATCCTGGAGTATATAATCCTTTAAGTAAAAATGTTAGTTCTGATGATGTCATGTAACTATTTCGTAATATATAATTTTACAGAATGTATAGTAGCGAATATAATTGTTCATATTGCAGTCACTGGTTTTTCCTTTTTTCTTTATGAAACTTCGGTTTTCAAATAAAGTAAGATATTGTGAAGTATAAGTTAATATAACAACGTAATTATATTTCTTGGTATGATATCAATGAGGAATTTGTATATTATTAAGCATGGCTTTTTGCCAATGTCAAATGGAGAAATATTGTACCTAATTTTAAATTTATTTTGAAAGTAAATTGGCAATAGAATCGACACGTCACAATTATATATTTTCCATCCAAGATTTTGTCATGGCCACATCCAAATCTACATACACCCAAAATATGAGCATTAAGTTACACTTATCGAACAAGAATATTTTATTAATGTTATGTATAAGAAAATAAATTATGTTACTATTTAATAAATATGTACATCTTTGATATATTTATGGTTTAACAAATTTATCACAGCTGTATTAGTATGCAAGCAAAAACGTTTTCGAAACTTATACACTGTTATAGACATACTATTTGATGATATATTCTTCTGGGTTTATTAAAAGACTTGTCATTGTGGCTTTTAGTTGGAATTCTGTAAAGAAATATATTTTAAACTAAAGCTCAAATGAAACACTTGAAAATTTGAAAAAAATTTATTAAAGCTAAAATACTATTAGTTACTTGTAACTATTTACAAAACCTAAACAAACTGTCGTTATGTTTTATTTAGTTTCATTTAGTGGTTCATACCCGTCTTTCTCGATTTTTTCCTTAAATACCAAGTAATTCCTCTTCCGATCAAAGTGTTTCACCCACTGTGATGTACAGGATTTTTCATAAAGTTGTCTAAATTCTCTACAGACATTGTCTTTATTTGCTCCCTCATTTGCATCCAAGCACTCCCAATATTTGTCTCTAGCTCCCCAACACCGACTACGTTCTTCCTTCGTAGGAAACGACATGACTGGAGAAACAAAACATTCATGTTACATTAAATGGAAATGATGTAAATCCTGTGAAAATATCAGCTAATGAAATTATAACCTTACGTTTAAAAATAACATCTTATATCCTATATTCCCTTGGATAAACTAAAAATAAACAACCGGTTGACAGTTTTATACATTTCATATACTGTATCTTTAAGGTAGCAAAGTATAAATAAATAAATATGTAAATGTCAACAAAGTTTCTTCAGGTAAATAAAATGATATCCTTCGAATTTCATTTTGTCTGGTTTAAGTTTTATGAGAAAAAATATTATTTTTATTCCATTTTTAAAAAAATATATAATACGATTTGATTGATGAAACACGCATTTTATTTAACGTTGAATTACATGAAACAAAGAATTCAATGTGATGATATTTAATTTATTTTGTATACTTATGTGCATATCGATGTTATTTGAGAAAGGATATTCTACAACTGCAGTTGACACAATTAACTTATATTATCTCTCAAATATTTTAGAAATTTATTTTAAACGATATAAAGTATTGATTTACATTTACAGACTAACATATATTTTTCCTTTCTCTATATTTACAAGACATTCATATTTCCCTCCGTAATTGTTTGGCCAACTGTAAAAAATATTGGGATTTTGTCCCTAATGACATTATCCTGATTTTGCAAATCTAAGGTTAGGTTAAATTTTAATTTATTGAAAAATAAACAATTTTACCCCAAGTAAGTAATAATTCTATATATTAATAATAAAATAAAGATATTTACCTTACTTCTGTAATTGAAATTTATCTTTAAAAACGGATATTTCTTGTTTTACAGAATATTTGGTTTGACATCCACCAGCTTATGCAAAATAACCTAAAATTCCCTGTCTTCCTTCTACATTTTACATCAATATGTCTCACGTACTACTATATTTTGCTCAAAAGTGTGTTTGATTTCAAATATATTTTTATTATGTGAGAAATTCTGGCATTATATTTTGTTATATTCATTTGAAAAATGAATAAGACTAGTAAAAAGAGTAAAGTTGATAAGTGTCCTTCAACATTCACACAAGAAAATAAAGAAGTATCGAAGAAATGTATTTTAAACGAAAAAATTCAAGAAAAAAATGAATTGAAAAATGGATTAGTAAATGGAATAGTGCATGACCCTTCAAATATTAAAAAAGCCAGTCGAAGGAGTAAAAAAAATAAACATCTCAATACTGAGATTAATGGCGAATCTATAGCAAACAAAGAAAGTGAATCTAAATCTACACCTAATGAAAACTGTATAGGTAAGACTGCCACTCAAAATGAAATTTTAGAAGACCAAAGTAGAAAGCACATAGAACAGAATTTGACAACAAAGAGTGATAATAATGTAAATAACGTAGATAAACACGTAAAAGGCTCTAAAAAAAAGAAATGTAATTTAGGGAAATTAGATTCAAATGATAATATATCAACTAACGTGTCTTGTGATAAAGAATTCTCGTCAGAGCAACCAATAAATGAAAAAGCAACTGATAATCATGTCGAAGATAATTCAGAACTGAAACAATATTTAAAAGACAAAGCCGTGGCATCCTGTAGCAGTAATATGTCGATAGTTAATGCCAATATTACCAATCCTAATTGTGGCTCTAACGATAGTGGTACTGAATCAAGTGTTTTAGAGGTAACTGATAGTCTTAGAAGTGTTCAACTAGAAGATGGAAGTAGTGAAAAAACCGAAATAAGTCTGGGGTCTGATAAACCGAAACCTAAAATAAATTTTATACAATATGAATCTGAGTTGCAAATGCCTATGATTATGAAGATAATTCAAAAGGATTTGTCTGAACCATATTCGATTTATACCTATAGATACTTTATACACAATTGGCCAAAGCTCTGTTTTCTGGTAAGTACTCCCTTTTCTTTGTTTACCGTAGTGAGAATATTTAGTTTTTTTTGCAATAAATTAATAATTAACTCATAATTTTGTACTCGTCACTTAAGTATATGATGAAAATATTACGTATGTAAGTATACTAGTATTTTTTGGTTTTCTCCTAGGCAATGTGTGGAGAGGAATGTGTTGGGGCTATCGTTTGTAAACTAGATTTACATCGAAAAGTGATAAAAAGAGGATATATAGCAATGTTAGCAGTAGATCAAAATTATCGTAACCTTCGTATTGGGTCGAATTTGGTGCAAATGGCAATCAATGAAATGATTATAGGGGATGCTGATGAAGTGGTTCTCGAAACGGAAGTAACCAATAAACCTGCTCTCCAGCTATATGAAAAGTTAGGTTTCGTACGTGACAAGAGGCTTTTTAGATATTACTTAAATGGTGTGGATGCTCTAAGATTAAAATTGTGGCTCAGATGAGTGCTTTAATAAATTATCTGTAGAAATTTTATTAATTTTCAAAGCCATATTATTGTTACATAATTTGGTTTTGTTAAGACAAGGTAGTTGATTGTTGAAATTTTATTACTGTTCATTGTTATTTTTTTCTTCCAGTTATATTTTTTTATAACAAACTGTTACTGCTTATGACTCGTAGTTTCAATATTTAAAAATGACCATCCAATTCTATAGCAAATTATTAAGAATATTTTTCTGTCTACTAAATTTTCTTTACTTTAAACTTTGTCTGTCTTTTTTTAAATTATATCGTTTTAAAAAACATCGAGTACATTTTAAGAAAAAAATATTTCTCGTTTTTGTGACTGTCGGTATCAATTTTTACATGGAAAGTGGTAACTGTTTGTTATTGAAACATATTCGTTGTCAAAAAAAGTTTAATTTTATGTTCTCGTTAGAAAGTGATAGTTGTTAATATATGGATTTGATTTAACTTATTTTTTTATTTAAATAATGTCCGAGTAATTCAACTGATAAAAAAATTGGTAACACTTGATGTTCTCAAATTCAGGGTGTTACAAAAATTTTCAGCTTTTGTAACAATTTCATACTGACATAACAGAAACAAATATTTATTATTCATTAAAATTAAGATTAATGTGTGCTTAAATAAGTGTTTCAATTTGATTTTTCATGATTATCTGTACTATCTTTTAGACAAGTTTGTCTGTAATGTATAAATTTTTGTATATATTTTAGTGTTACGATACATATAAAGTGTTGTAATAAAATGGAAAATATACCAAATTTATTACTTAAGAGTGTTTTGATTATTTCTGACACCTAAATACGATTTAAATAATTTTACGAACATTAACATATCAACTGATAAAATATCTTCAGGATGAAATAAGTGAAATCAATTTTAATAAAGTATTTATTAATCTATTTACTTTTAAATGTGTTTACCTTTCTTTTAACAGATTTAACTAGTAAATTTAATTCAACATTCTTTTTACTTTCCATTTTAGGTTTTTTATTTATATCCACACTATCATTATTTCTCCTTTTTAGTTTTTCATTGATAAGTACTTCCATTCCTTTAGTTTTCTTGTAATGGGGATCGGTTGGGTCAATGTTGAAATGATGGCTTGTGAATAACGCAGAAAATCTATCGTCTGCAACATTAATTTCAAAGTCGTCATTCCTTTTGTCATTTTTGTCCATAACTTTTTTGTTTTTCTTTTTATTTTTCGATTCATCTTCCCCCTGCTGAATTTTCTTCAAACTAAAGTGTTGTTTCCCATCATCTTCATTCATTAACAATTCTAATTCGGCTTGTTTTTGATCATCAACGTCAGGGTCTTCAGATTTCTTTGTGTGCTTTTTCTTTTTCTTAAATTCGGGGTTATCGAATTCTTCTGCAAAGTATTTATCGTTCATATCTATATCGGAAGGAATGTCAGATTCACTATCGTCACTGTCTTTAGAATGCTTTTTCTGTTCACGTTTCTCTCTCTTTTTCTCCCTTCTTTTCTTTAGGTACTGCTCAAATGGACTCTTCTCATCCCCTTTGGACATATTCTCTTTTATCAACTTTTCAGTTTTTTGTTTCAAATCTATACCCCAAGATATTTCCATTTCCATATCTTTTCGATTTTTAGATTTCTCTTTTTTTTCTATATCCTGAAGTAATGCCTTGTATTTATCAATAGAACTACCACCACTTTCTTCTTGAATCTTTTCCTCCTCTTCATCTTCAGTTTCTTCTTCTCCACTACTGCTTGCTAAGTAATTCTGTAAGTCAGCATCGGAAATGCCATCGACTTTGCCATTTTTAAGTTTCTCGGCAATTTCCAGCCTTTCAGGATTTGTTTCATCCCACGTCAAATCGACTTTAGCTTGCTGCAGTGCAGTAGTGGTAAAGAAACGTGGTTGATACCTGTTTACATCTGGCAATTTATCACACATTTCTTTAGGCTCGTCATCAAATTCCATACTATCTGGTATAAACCTTAAATCAATTTTTGTAGCGCTAGATTCATACTCCTTTCCATCACACTCTGTGTAAATTTTATTAGCAGAATTTGGGGTGTCAAAAGAAATAACTGCATAATAGTATTTAAGTCTATTTAACTGGTATTGTCGTAATTTTTCCATGTGGTAACTGGATCCTTCTTCATTTTCGTTATCGTTTTCTTCCACTTTCGATTCTACTAATTCAATCGGTCCTTTAATCTCTTCTTCTGCCATTCGTTTTTTACCAAATTCTGAAGGATATATAGCAACAGATTTAATCACACCACCTGGTGGTAAAAATGAATTAAACAGGACCATCAAATCTATAGCTCGTATTCGATCCCAATCCATATTACATGCTGCTAATCTATATGTAGTACCTTCAGTTTCTTCTGCATCTGCATCTAGTTCTCCCCATTTGTGTTCGATTTCATCAGTTTCAGATAATTCATCTTCACTTTCGTCATCGTCAGAGGAGCTTTCTGAACACAAAGTTGATTCTCCACGTGCATAGTCAACATTCAAATTCTGCAGTTTGTGTTTTAACACATCTGATACAATTTTATCTGACTTATCTTTTTTCTCCAATTCACTAAATGCGTCAGACTTTGGAGCTTTGACAAATTTACCAACTTCAGATTCTGAGTTCTGCTTTTCGTTATCTTCAGAATCTGAACTGGACGATTCCTCCTCCGAACTTAAATCATAATACCGTTTTAAGTTTTCCGTAGACGTATGACTGACTGGTCGTCCTCTTTTATCGGTGCTGTACTTAACTTTAAACTTTTGGTCTTTAAACATAGACTGGAACCTTTTATCAATTTTTACTTTTTGCTGCTTTTTGGGAATCCTGCGGAATTTAGGATCATTTGCAATATGTGCAAATCGTTGGTCTTCCATCGTAAAAAAATATTTTTGTATAGGAACTATTTCACAAAGTATTCAAGTTTAATATTCTTCAAGTTTAACCTATATTTTAAAATGTGTGAAACTGAAACATTTTGCTACGTGCTGTCAGCTGCCAGTGCTGACAATTTTGCGTCAATTTTCGTTTCTTCTTCCTCTTCCTCTTCTATAGCCATCTATTAGTTGTACTTTCAAAATATCAAATGTTTCTAGCCATAGAATCCTACTTAAACAAAAAAAAAAAAAGAGTAGTGTTGGTACTTCTAATTTTTGAAAGGGCTTGGCTTATTGAACTTCGAACTGCTGACATTAGAAAAATATAGAAATTAGAATTTAGGTTAGGATTTGCGGCATAATTTCTTTTTTCTTGTTTAATACTTACGAAATATTATGTAATTGCCTTTTATGGTATTTTCATTGGTGCCTGTAGGTGTTAACTGACACCTGTAAAACTAAGAATTTAATCTATACTATACTATTTTATAAAATAAGAGATCTATGGATGTCTAGGTATGTAAAGACATGAAATTAACATTAATTATTAAATGCTTTTAAATCTTGTACATAAATTAAATATCTAATTTGTAATAACTACAATGCTCATAACCAACTGCTATAAAATTGGTAAATATTTTAATTTGTTTAGTAATGTCTCGAGTACAAGATGTACTAAGTATATTACGCTCACTGCAAATAATTACTGAAGCATGTATTAAATTGCAAGAAGAAAATATTAGACTAATATGGAGAAATTCGAGTATACGTCCAGTAGCAAAAGGTTGTGCCACACAAGTCAGAAATATACCTAAAACGACAAATGTGTCCGATTTAATAGGCACTGCTAAAGAAGGGGCTGACCGTGTTTCAGCTGTCGTGCATGGTTTAAAAGTTTACACAGACTATAGTTTTAGGAAAGGTAAGATTACTAAAACATGACTAATTTTCTACTAAGAATCCTAATATGGTTGTACATGTGGGTGTTAACTGTTGAATTTTGCATATAGGTATTTGTGTATGTATAGGTATACAATTAAATAATTGGTAATTATAAAAGTTTTTAATTTTAGGACAGCTAGACTCAAAATTTGATAGTTACACTGACAAGGAACATAAAGTACAAAAATCAGTGGATGCCAAACGTAGTGTAAACATAGAGAGTTACAGTCCTCCTCAGTTTAAAATTAAATTGACTGATAGTGATAAAGAATTATTAAAGAAGCTTGATATGGAACACAGAGCAAAATTAACTAAGCAAGAAGATAGGGAGAAAGCTTATAAAAAGGAACTGGAGAAAGAAAATATTGGATGTTCAAAAGTGACATCTGTAGCTAATCCAAAGTCGAAGCAGAAGGTATTAGTTGGTTTTAATTACTAAATATGTAATGTGTAATAGATTTTTGCGCAATTTTTTTAGCTCTGTGAAAATGCCAAGCAAAGAAAAGTTCCGTCCTCTCGAATAGGCAGAATGGTGTCATTCGGTACTCTTGCTGCGGGCCTTGGCCTAGGAACTGCTACTGAGTACGCAAAGAGAACTTTAGGCATCGGCGAGCAGCCTGTAGATGCAAATTTATTTATGAACAAGGCGAACATGGATAGAATTGTGGATACTCTCTGTAAGGTCCGCGGCGCAGCTTTAAAACTAGGCCAATTAATGAGTATTCAAGATGAGTCATTAGTCAATCCAGAACTCGCTAGAGCTTTGGAGAGAGTAAGGAAATCAGCAGATTTTATGCCCAATTGGCAAGTGGAAGAGGTGATGTTGGGGGAGTTGGGTACGTCGTGGCGGAATAACTTTGCAGAATTCGAGGACAGACCGTTTGCTGCTGCTTCAATCGGCCAAGTGCATCGGGCAATATTGACAGATGACAGGGAAGTCGCTATCAAAATTCAGTATCCTGGCGTTGCTAAAGGCATTGAGAGCGATATCAATAATTTAGGTGGAATAATGAAGATGTGGAACATTTTTCCGAAAGGCATGTTTTTAGAGAATTTGATGGCTGTGGCCAAGCGGGAGCTGGCTTGGGAAGTGGATTACATCAGAGAAGCCCAATGTACGAAAAAGTTTAAAGAAGTACTGGCAGGTTATAAGGATTACTATGTTCCCGAAGTCATTGGTAAGTCGATAAATGTAGCAGAAGATAAATTATTTTTTTGTTTTGTTATATTATATGTGTTTTCTGAAGTCATATCATAACTTTGGAAGGATATCCCGTAGATTATTTTCGAAATATTAAATATTTATGAAAACAAAAACCAAGAGATGGTACTGGTTTTGTCAAACTGCTGATTGATTTATAGGAAAACAAACCATAGCTTTCGATTTTGTGATTGGAAATTATATTTCGTATTGCTTTATCATATTTTATCGTATTATGAAAAATCCTTATATTTTGTCAGTTCTTCTCAAATATTTGAACAATTTTAACATACACAGTTATACACAAGTCAGAGATTTTATATTTATATTTTTTTGACTTGCTGTTACATTCCATATCAAAAATAATCTGTCGTTAACCATTTTTTGAGACAGGACAGGGCAAAACTAAATGCTTTTGCTATGAGAATGACTTTAATATCAATGTAATAGATGTCACCCTTCAGTTAATCTAGCGAATAACTTCAATGTCTATTATCTCCTTTCATTTTAGATGAATTATCGACTAAACAGGTATTTACCACGGAAATGTTAGATGGTATTCCGGTTGACCAGTGTTTCGATTTGGAATCGGAACATCGGGAATTCATCGGAGAAAAAATACTGGAACTCTGCTTAATAGAAATATTAAAATTGAGATATATGCAGACTGATCCGAATTGGGCAAATTTCTTGTACAATCCAAACAAGAAACAGGTGTGTATACCTGTTTAACGGTTAAATTCTTTTCCTACATGTAATCTTGTTTAATAGATCCTTTTGCTGGATTTTGGTGCCAGCCGCGAATATTCTAAAGAATTTATGGACAAGTATGTGCAAATCTTAAAAGGGGCCTGTGATTCGGATCGCAAAACTGTGCTCGCGGTGTCGAGGGAACTTGGTTTTCTTACCGGATATGAAAGCAAGGTAAGAAATGGTACGAGATGTTTATACATTTCGCAGATGTTTTTTAAATACTATTTTGGAGTCTAAATAATATTTTCTAAGCTTTCTGATACATTTTACTACACTTCAGAGCAGTGTTTGCAAATCTATTTTGTAGAAGGCGCTACTTGCACCTTACTGGAGCAAATGTAAACCTCTTTGTTCTTTGCACATGAACAATACAAAAATATAATGAAAACGTGATTAATCGACAGAAAATTCATCAGGAACAAACAAATTGTTTTATGTCTTAGGAAGATCTAAGAATTGGTACAATACATATTTTTGGCATGTTTAGCTTAATTCTGTTTTTGTGACCTGAGAAATCTACCGTTAATATATGTACATTCTTAACAAAATATCATGCCTTGATCAAACGGTAAAGAATTTTTTCTATAGATAATGGAAGATGCACACGTGGACGCTGTGATGATACTAGGCGAGGTGTTCCGCCAAGGCGATAAGTACGACTTCGCTAATCAAGATATGACCGTTAGAATACAAAATCTAGCACAAACTATGCTTGCTCATCGACTATGCCCTCCACCCGAAGAGGTTTATTCATTGCACAGGAAATTGTCTGGAGTATTCTTACTCTGCACGAAGTTAAAGGTGGCCATACCCTGCAGGGACAAATTTGTGAAGTTGTATGATGAATACAATCGACAAAATAGTTGATAAATACCATATATTTATAATGTCATATTTGTTGTTATTTTATTAACTTATGAAATAAATTAATAATCTTTACTGAAGTTTTAAATTTATTTTTATGCTTATCTTCATATAACTATAGGTAAATATACAGTGTGTCTGTTTTTTTTTTTGTTAACACTTTACAAGTAGGCTGGCAGAATCAAGTGTGACTAATTTTTATGGGTAAGTATTGGTTTCTCATTGCCGTGAATTTTTTGTGTGTGCATTTTTAGAAAAACATGTTAGTTTTTTTTACATGCTGATAACTTTAGAAAAATGAAAAACTTTATTTTGTGGTGCACATCCAGGATGTCATGAAATCAAACGAAAAGTTGGCTGGAGTAACCAGAAAGAGTAATTAATTTGATGGCTGAAAGATTTTGTACGGACAAAATTGAATACAAGAACTCCAAATAGTGATTATAATGGTATAAATTTTCTACAATAAATTCAATGATCAGTATTGCAGCCAGTGAATAAAATAATTTAAGAGGGCTCTGTAGCAAATAGGCAACCAGCAATACATTTTTATAGATTTTATTACACAGTTTGTCTAAATATGAATTAATGCACAAATAATAGACTTTCTCCCATTTTAACGCAGATTTTCTATAAAATGGACTTAGTTTGAAACTCAAATTACTTTTTGGTGTAAAGAAATTTGTAATTTACAATTTCGTTCGTTCAAAAGCAGCAAGTTACAAATTATTTTGCGAAAACTATCAAACCGATTTTAATGAAATTTGGTGTTGTTTTTTTAACAAAATTAGAATCCCTCGGAGCAATTAAAATATTTTAATAAAATTATCCAAAAAACTTCGATTATTTTGCCTTTTTTTCATCAATTATTACTATTTTGCAACAACGGTAGTAAATTTAAACATTTTTTACTTTCAATGTTGATATTCAATGTCTACTATGTTTTTCTCAAAAATACTCCCATATAAAAAGTCGTAGCAGGCCAGGCTGACGTAATGGGAAACCACTAAATGGTGTAGAAGAAGTAGTCAGCCAACTTATTTAAGGGGATGTTAAGCCGAAAAATCAGACACACTGTATATGTTCGCAGAATGGCAGTTTCTTGGAATGTGTAGATATTTTTTTACTGAACGTGAACTTACAGAATATATCACATTTAGATATTTGTAAAATAATATGTCCAGTTGTGGTATACTTAACTTAATTCTCGTTCTCCAGTTAGTAATTAGGTCAAAATATTATGTTTCAAAACTAAATTGTTTTCAGTGTATATATAAGAGGCCTGTTAAGCCATAATTGTTAAAACTCAGCTAATATTTATCGTGACTTGTGCTCTAGGAGAGTCTAAAAATGAAAACAGTAAGTTTCTATTTTTTTTTAAATAGTGAAATGTATATATATAAAAAATGCTATATAGAAAAAATTCTCCAACTAAAAGTCCTTAAAAAATTGTACCAAAGTGCCACCGGGCAGTGTTAATATGTACATATTTGTTAATTTTACTATAATTCATCTTTTTTTTTTTAATTAATAAACTTAGTTACAGTTTAATTTTAAATTATCCGCATTATTTTGGTAATTCATTATTTTATTTGACTGAAAATACTTTCACTTGCACTAAATGACGTCACAATGCGTTTTTGATCACGTTATAAACTTCTATAATTAAGTTATAGCAACAAAGAAAATAATTTTTTACTACTATCGTCGATTATAGACTCCAAAATGCAATCCTAAAAGAAATTAAATTTTCTCTGAACTTGCCTATTCTTCTTTCTGAATAAATTGACACAATAACATTTTTTCAACATAGTTTTTGTATCAAACTTCATTTAAAATACATACTACTTTCTGAAACATGCTTGATGAACTGAAAAAAATTAATTAGGGAACAATCAGCAGCATATTTGATGATACTAATTTTTGTATGATATGTTTTATGATCCAGTTCATACTCCCGCTGATAGTGACCGTAGCTTCAGTCAATGCAGGATTTCTTAACGGGGGCCATTTCCTTCCTGCGACAAACGTCGTTGCTTCCCGGACCATCGTAGGAGGTGCTGTTGGGGGAGGCCCCTCTTCAGGGGCTGTGTCCACAGCTCAATATTCCCAAACCGTCGCTGCCCCTGCAACCGTTCATACCGTCATTACCTCTCACCCCGGATATCCTTCCCCTAGTGCTGGCTCAAGTGGTGGCAGCAGTGGCAATTCAGCCGGCCGGAACAGCGGTGGGGGCGGAGCATATAGCAACTACGTGTACAACAGTGGACCGGGGGGCAGCAATACACAAGGAAGTAGTGGTGGATCAACCGGATATGGCGGTGGCAGCTCTGGAGGTGGATTGAATTCTGGGTTTGATCATCATCCATCTTCTTACTATAACCATCAGAGACACTACTAACGAAGCTGTCACCTTTTGTGGTTCACTTGTACATATTTTATGTAAATATTTTTTTACTACTTTGCTTCTGTAAATCGAATGTAATCTTATATACATAAATAAATGGCATAAACTGTGAAGTTTGTGGCACTTCTTATTTTGAACTCTTTCCAATGCCATTATCCTAAAACTAAACAGGGGCACTAAACTGCTAAATCGTATTTCAAGTATATATCTAAGACGATTAAAGGCGAGGAAACAGAGGAGGATCTGGATTTTTAAAACAATTCTTTAGTAAACAAATGTAGTGTATTTGCATTTTTAACCACAGAAGCAGTTTCAATTTGAAGAACTGTCTCTGCACAACACGTATTGGGAGTTCATTATATAATGAATATGAGTTAAATATATATGTGAGGAATAGAATTGGCCCTATTACAGATCCTTGGGGAATCCTGAATAAATGTCACACCAATTTAAAATCGAGTGAGCTACTCTGACTTTGAATTTTCAAAACGACTTGCATTTGCTAGCAACTACAATTAAAAATCAATAAATATATATGTCAATTTAACAACTTGTAAATATTATAATTATGATTCGTGTTCTTTGCAGCCACTAAAATTAATGTTTAATATCCAGGGAAATTTATTGACGTAGGTAAATAATCGATGCTTATAATAGTTCATTAATGGTCCAAACTGCAATACCTAAATGCAATTACGAGTAGATATATATTGAATTATTAATACACTTCATAACAAGTTGCAGCGCACTAAGCATTGTCGTGTTTTGTTGTGAATAATTTTAATTGAAGTCATGATTTTCAAGGTAGGAATTCATTTTTACTTTGTATTATACAGTTTCCTCACAAAATTATAAAGAAAAATCATAAAGGAGGTTTTTCTTCTAGGTATTCTTTGGACTAATTTTAGTAATTGCAATGGTATTCAGCAAGCCCGTTGCAGATCCTAATTTTGTAAGTTTTTCTTGTTTCTCCTATTTTGTCCAAAATGCGTTATAATTATTGAAAATTTAAAAACTAATTTTGTACGTGATTGATTACTCATACCTACATACCTACATCTTAAAAAACAAAGCTTATTTCACTATTATTTGTATACAATTTATTTTTTAGGCAGTATCATGGGGTCCATGGGGTTATGGATGGACATATCCATATTATTGGCCGTATTACCATTACAGAATTGTAATCTAGAAAGTACAGCTACTGCTATAAAATGAAATATATAATATTTTTCTGAAAGTAGCAAAATGTATCTAACAAAGCATATTTTAAATAAACTTATCTACCTACAGTCTAGCATGTATTTTTGTACGTATTCATAAATAACTATATAAACACAAAAAAATATTTAATGTCTTATTTCTAGTCATTTTGAGATATGTCGCTGACGGTTTAGGGTATTATAAACATTTATGATTCCTTAAAGCAAATTTAAAACACATTATTAACCTTTAGTGACATCAATATAGTTTAAACTTCAAGCAAATGTATTAAAAAATCTCCTAATTAAATGATAGATCAGCAGTACATTAAATGATTAAGGTACAACGGGTGTTATAAGATAATAATGCCCTCTGACAACGTACATTCCTTCTGAAGAGAGGTCCTCGAGAAGTACACAGCCGACATCAGCACGTTATCCTTTATGGCTATTTGTTAAAAGTATATCTTTACCATGTTTTATTAATCTACAAATAAATAATATAATTACCTAGATATTTTATTAATTACTCTATGTATATTAAATAGTTGATTTATCAATTATTTATTTACATTTTCTTTATGTATTTTATTCACATCTATCGTATTTACTTACTGAAAACAAATTAGCATATCATGTAAATAAATAAAACACCGTTAGGTTTATACGTTTATTGAAAATATCTTCTTTAAATACAATATATTATTACTATGTAAAAAAAAACAAATGCATCAGTTAGCATTAATAATGACCCCCGTAATAATCCCCTTTGTACGATCCGTCGTCGTACAACTGCTCGTTGTAATCAGGCACGTACTGGCCCTCATGACCCGACCCAAGGCCTACTCCGTAGGCCGGTGCTCCAACAAGGCCTAAACCAGCGATACCAATTCCTGAATGGAAAGTTACAGGTGCAGGAACCGCTGCAGCAACGTATCCTGGTGCTACGGCTGCCGAGACAACACCGCCTAAAAGCAAAGGACATGAATGAAACGAATCTAAAATGTTTTAATGTTTATAATTTTCACGTGCTGAGAAAAAATGCCAATTGAAGGGGTAATGTTTTTAGTTTCACGAGTTAGTTCAGGAAGATTTCCAAGAAAAAATTGTTATATACAGGGTGCTCTCAAAGTTGAGTCATTTATTTTAACAGCTGATAGAACTCTTAAAAAACTCGATTACTAAAAACCGTTTATACAAAAGTTGCAGAAGAAGAGTTATAAAAATCCTGTTCTACAAAAATTGTTCAAAATTGTTCTACAAAAATTGTTCAAAATTTAGCAACTTTTATAAAAACGATTTTTGGTAAATCGACTTTTTTTGCGAGTTCTACTAGCTGTTAAAATAAATGACTCAACTTTGAGAACACCCGATACGTTAATGCAACTTACTCTGTTGATTTTGTTATGCAAATTAATAGAAACAAAAAACATAAAAGAAAGAAAGGTAAAATCGAAACAGGCCTCGGACTACAATTTTTTTTTTATATAAACAATACTTTCAGTCAAATATTTTCATGAATTATAAAAATTTACTTGGAAAAATTTTTAAAATATGAAAATACTCAAAATCTATATTAAAACATTCAAATACATATTTTTACGTTGAAAACTTTGGTGGCGTCAGTTTTTCTATAAGATGTATAGTTTCACAAAAAAATTAAAGGAATTAGAATTCTTATCACTGGAAACATTCACTTTACAAAATCGTGTGCAGAATTCGAATTTGGAACGGGAATTGCTCTTGGAACAAGCGCAATTCGTAGACATATCTCGCCAATTGTTTGTTAATGGAACTTTTAATAAACATATCCAAGAAGTTTATGAAATTATATACATGCCAACATAAACCATCAACAACCTTTAATTAGTTTGTCAGATAAAACGATTTTTTTACACGCAATATAAACACTTTCATGGACTTTTATCACAAAATATTTAAATACCTCTTCACTTAGTTTCAAAATAACAAGTAAACAAACCTGCTTTGGGGGGTGCAACTACAGTCCCACCACCTACAGCTGCTGATATGTGACTACCATCAGGGCCGACTAAAGATGCTTTGGCTCCAGGTCCTTGAATGACAGTACCGTGTTCTGAGGGACCTATCAGTCCAACACCTAGGTGACCGGCCTGAACCGTAGCCAAAACAACGCAGAGGAATAATCCCTAGAAAGATTTAATATAGTATTTACAAGCTTATATAGAAATTATTCAGATGATCATGATTTATTTATGACATGTTTTGCAGCTTTGAAAAAAAAAAATAAATAGAAAAGAAAGGAAACAAATCCTTGCTCCAACAGAGTCAGTTAACGGTTGTTTTCCAAAAAAATAACTAAAACATCTAATTAAACAGGGAAAAAATAAAAATTGACAAAAAAATAGTAAAGCCAATAACAGAATATATGTTTTTTTTAAAGTCTACATCTATTATTGAACCTTTTAAATAACGTTCCTCTTTGTGCATTGCTCTACTATTTGCTTTTAAACCTTGAGAATTGATAAGGTGTACTGCATATGCATAGAAAAAACAGTAATTTGCATTGCTTATAAGCTTTCTTTCGTATATAGAGCTTACAGTATACATTAATTACCTGCATTTGAATACATAAAAGAGTTACTGATTAATTTTAAGTATAACTCACTCATTTCAGACAAAATATGTATTTTTCAATACTATAATTTTCCTGATGGAATCAGATGTTTGTTAACACTAGAGAAACCCAAAATTACAACGATGTGAAGAGCGAAGTACAAAGAAAACTGGCTGTCTGCCTACTCACCGGTAAAATCATTTTGAACAGCACTCAAAACGCAAATGAGGTACGAAATAGCATCAAACTCGAGTAATCCTACATTTTATACAAATAAGGCAGTTATGACCTCGCCTTCACTACGTCTGACCCTTGCTAATAAAACCATACACGTAGACGAACTTTCATAAAAAACGACGTTGCCAAACATCGCCAGATTTCGACGAAAGCCTTATGGTCGAATTCGTTAAGAATAATCCTTTGTAAATAATAATTAATATCAGCGTTAGTTTCCGCGTGCAATTATGCAATTCATTTTATTATTAGCCTTGGTGGAGGCTGAAGTGGAATGTTGGGAATGGGTGGAGTCATACGGTGATAAAGGCAGCGGATGACTTTCATAGATTTTTTTAATTCAAGTCATGATTTATAGGGACGAGGTAATCTAATTTGAATTGCGACCCGATTTTGTTCGAGTTGAGCGGTTCAGTTTTTCGTAATCTGGGCTGTAAATCCTTGTTACAGGGTGAACTACAGATGAATGTGACGTAAATATCTGTATAACTTTCAGGGTTTAACTAAAATACTTCTAATGGTTCTAAATCACAAAGTAATAACAACAATTACTAAAAATATGCCTTTGAAAACGCTTCGTTCTCGATATACCTACAGGGTGTTGGATTATTGTAGTATGTATTTTATTTTATTCAATCCTAAACCAAAGCTTCAAACTAATTGAATTTGGAGTAAGAAAAGATATTGGTATTTTCATAAAACTCATCATCCTAAGATGACGATCTAATAGTCGCAACAAATATTTTCGCTAGACTATAAATTGTACTATAGTCGCCCTAACAAGATGAGATTGCAGCAACAGATAATAAGTTAGCAAAAAACTTTTTAATTACTAATAAATAAGCTCCTTTAGCCAGATATTTCTTACTATGACAACACCATAACCTTCTGGACCCTATTTAAAGATATCTCGTTATGGTTAATCAACTTCTAATAGATATTTCCCTCAGTGTAACTTCCATTTGAAGCTTCCACATAACAAACAGTTACCGGACCAGCTACGAAAGTGTAACAATCATAAAAATGTTTCGCTATTTCACTTAACAAAGTCACTAAACTATGTTAACCATGTAAATATGACTACAATTTGTATGCACTTCTAGTACATAGGTAGGTGTTGTAATTATTAAATAAAACATTTTAAAATGTATACTAGGTACGCTCACAATTCAAAATTAGTGAATAGAGTCAATATGCAGAAAAACAAATCGTGATTTGAGATATCCACACCTTTCGTTGTTACTTAAGATTGATACGCACGATTTGTCTACGCCTAATTTGAATATTTATGATTAAATGTAATTACTATTTTGTTGTTTTACTACTAATTGCGCTATTAATTTGAATTATTAATTAACTAAGTCTAATTCCAAACATTTGGAGTTGCATTTAAATGATGTACAAAAATATTCTTTCATTTTAATTTGTTGCTGAATTATTAACGTATAACATGTAATAATTATTTATGCAGCTGCTTTTAATGTATCTACTATTATAAATGCTTACATTGCAACTAATATGTATATCACAAAGGAAATAAACTGATGTGAATATCTATAACACCTTGATTTACAACTTTAATTACATGTAATTAAAATAACATTTACTCTTAAAAAAGAAAAATTTATCTAAATTATGGTGCATGCGCCAGGACTATCAATATTTTTTGTAAAGCTCAGTTTTGAGGAAAATAATGATAGGGCATATATAAACGGTCATATAAAAGACGTAAAATAAATAATAATTTATTATGGCAGTTAGATTATGTTTTTTATACATAGTGAATCCGAAAATAGTCTTTAACTTAAGACGTTTCATCTTAAAATAATAAGTAAGACAAATAAAGTCCGCTAACAAGGTCTACTTTTAATTTAATTTAATTTAATTTATTTTATTTTATTTAATACACTGTTCAACAGGTGCTACCCAAATGTACAACAGGGACTTTACAGACAATAATAAAACAAGCACATTAATTACAAATAAAATTAAAAGGAAATCAAAATATATGACCATCGTAAAAAAGAAGGTAATAAATAAAATCCATACACTAAATAATACACATAATGAATATTAAAATTACATATTTGAAACTACTAAACATTAGAAATAAAGCATTTTTAAGTCATTAAGGCTGCAGTTAAAAATATATATCTACAGCATTTTTATTATGTTTGGTGGTGAATGTTTGAGTACATTAGTACGAGGAGTTGGTCAATAAAATATTCCGTTTTCTCTAGAGCTAAGTCTAGGTATAGAAAATGATAATTTGGTTATAAATTCCTGGCAGTCAGCCAAATTGCGTAAAATTTTAAAAAGAAAGACCTGTGAAAAGTATTTTCGTCTAGTATTAAGGCTAATAAAAGAATATCTATTAAAAACGTCCTCATGCGGATATCCGATGTGAGGATAGTAGCCATCAGATTTAAAATTTAAAAATTTAAAAAATCGACGCTGAATCGATTCCAGTTTATTAATGTGGACACCACTGTGCGGAGACCATATGGTTTCGATCTAACGTAACTAAAGTAAAGAAGCTTCATGACATCTAGGCTTGAAAAATCACGTCAGTTGCCAACTATAAATCCATATGATCTATTAGCTTCGGAGACAACAGTATCAATATGTTTATTAAGTGATAGTTTTTCATCAAATACAACACCCAAGTCTGGAAATGTTTTCGGTCTTGACAAAACGTCATTACCGATGCTGTAATTAAACATAATGCGATTGAACTTACTGGAGAAAAACATTTTTCCGTGTTTAATATTAGCTTGTTATTATTACACCAAGATTTTATATATTAAGAAGGTTTCATTGAAGCTGAATACAGTCATTAATGCTGCGAACTGAGCTGTATATTTTCACATTATCGGCATAAAGAAGAAAATTTACATCTAAGTTGTTAACTAAATCGTTAATGAATGTAATGAATAGGAAAGGTCCAAGAATTGAACCTTGAGGAACTCCTGAAGTAGCGACATACTCAATATACTGTTTTCTGTTGTCTAAATAAGATTTGAAGAAATTCATTAAGGCCCCTGATACGCCAAACATATCAAGCTTCTGGAGTAAAATTGAGTGATCAAGCCTATCAAACGCCTTGCTGATGTCCGTATATATGACATCAGTTTGTAAATTGCTATAATAAATATAGTCATGAAATAATATTTCAAAAATTTTACAAAAATTACATATAATGGAGATAGGATGAAAATTAGTAATGTTAAATTTATCACACTTTTTAAAAATTGGACACACTTTTGAACGTTTCCACGAATCAGGTAACCGACAGTCAGTTAGGCACCAGCTGAATATTTTTTTTAATGGGCGAGAAAAAGTCTTGAGTACAGTCTCTTACCAGAAACGCGGGGACACCAATCCGGACCAGTAGTCATTTTGGGTTTAATTCTTTTTAAAGTCGACATAATTTAGATTTTACTGAAGTCGGGAATATGTATTATATTATCAATGTTATTGCTGGAATATGAATTGTTGCTGTTAGAAGATGACGGTAAATAAGATTTAGTGAAGAAATCTGCAAATTCATCAATAATATTATTTGCATTATCAATATGACGCCCATTATAATGATACTGAGAGATACTTGTAGAACCTTGTTTATTATCAATAAACGCCCAAAATTTACTAGGGTTATTCTTAATAGATGCCTCAGCGTCTCTGATAAATGCCTGGTAAGATATATTGATTTCACTTTTAATTATAGTTCGCAGGTTTTTAAGTTCTTCGAAGACAAACAAGCCTCCACTAGTTTTATATGCTTGCCAAAACTTTGCTATGGTCTTGATTTTATTAATAATTTGCAAGTTGTACCAAGGATAATACGTTTTTTTAGTTATGCTAGAAAATTTAGGAAGGTACATATTAAATATGTTGTAAAGTTGATCGTAGAAATAATTTAGGGCACGATCCAAGTCGTTTATTCTTTCAATTTGGTTTTGAAAATCCCTTTAAATATTTTTATATATTTGCTAAGTCATATCTTCTTTCTGTTTTGTTGAGTAGCTTAGCTAGGAATACCCATAGAGTCACCATACTTGTTTTAAAAAAAATGTTCGAATCGTACGTCCCAAGCAAGATTTAAAAGTGTGTCCTTGTTCTTACTGGTCCAGACATTATTATTTAAACCCTTGCCACCACTTACCTCAAAATGAAAACTTCAAAACCAAACTATTACTTAAGAAAACAGTCTTAAACTGAAGTTCTGTAATCATGAGGATATCCGAAATAAAACGGCAACTGCAAATTCAACTATCTTATTAAAATACGAATGTTATATAACACAAAAAACGTCGTCTAATTTATCTGCCCCATACTCCGTGTCCTAACCATCCTCCTCCGATAACAGCTCCAGGCGCTACGGCGGCACTAACAGCTCCACCAGCGATGGGGGCGGCCGCGATGGCACCTCCTTGGGCGGCGGCTGAGATGAGGCTGCCGTCAGGGCCGGCGAGGGCGGCTTGCGCGGAGGGTCCTGCCACGAGGGCTCCGGGATTGGCTGGTCCTACTAGAGTGGCGCCACCCCAGCCCCAGACTGAGGCTTGGGCGCAGGCGACGGTGGCGACGAGGAAGATAACGACCTGGAGAAAGCGATAATTGAAGAAAGTTGTAAAATTGTTTGTGACGACTTTGAAAAAAAAACGTAAGATTGACGTTAATGGCTTCAGAAATACAGGCACTTGTTGGAATTTTTCGAGGCTTATTTTTCGATGAACTGATATATTGTTTCATTAAAAAAAAAACAACAGTGGCTGGTTATTAAGACGTTAAAAAAAATGCCAGTCTTTAGTAGTTTCAACCATTAACATTCATGTTTTTCCAAAATTGGACTAAAAATGGCGAAAATATAGCTTTGCTGATCATTGGGTAAAATTACGTTTATAATAACGGATATGCATGCAACGGAAACTATGTATTTACATGTTATCATTTGTCGAAAACTATTTATTTTGAAAATAATGTTTTTTAATGATTATTAACAGTCTGTTTTTTAAAAACTGATAAATAAAAACACATTTTCGCGTCACTATTTGTTTCTGACAACAAAAAACTAACAGTATCAATAGCAAATACCACGGCATGCAAAAGTTACATCTAGGAAGCGATCATGGGGAAGTTGAGCGTTTTGAGAAGCCTTACCAAGGAGTTCATGGTGGAGGTGTTGGTGTAACTGCAGCTGTACTAAAACTGTATGATTAGTTGTTATCACCCATTGTATTTATATCATGGTGCTTTTTCATTTAAAATCATTAACCTTCAACAGGTTCTTACGCATATTCCACCGCGTATTGCATATGATAGCAATAATATGGGCTGGTCTCGGGTGTAGAATAAAAAAAAACTGTCGGTCACACTGCACTGCTAATGGCACCAAAGGGAATTTGAAAAAAAATTCTTGATTTTGCGATATTCGGTTGAAAACAATATAAACGTTGTTATTTGTGCTCTACAATTCAGTGCTGTTTGAATTAAAGAACAGCATCTGTTATTTTCATAATTTGGGAAAAAAGTTCACAATAAACTGTTAAAAATGTGCATATATGAAAAAGTTTCATAATAATAATATACCAAATCTTAAGAAAAACAACTAAAAATAACTGAAATGTTTTTATTTTTACATATACAAAAACATAATTAGTATAGGTACAAAATGATAAATAATTAATTACGAGCAAATTAAGGAAGTGATTCCTTGTTGAAATATAACGGAGATCCTTCAAGTAAAAAAAAATCTCTACATTTATGGCCTTTTAAGCAGAAAATTGAAAACATTTAGTTGGAAAAAGATTATGGAAAAGATATTTACCTTAATTTTGTTCTTCATTTGCAAGGAGTAACCTGCATTCGTTACTTTTCTTCTATCGCCAATATGGCAATTTAAAAATCTACTTTAGATAGCTTGATTTGAAGCAAATTTGATATATTGATCTTAATTCGTAAATACTTATTTATTGACACCCTGTATGTTAATACATATTAATGTAAGCTGACACAGACAAACAAAAAAAAAATATCCTGTCTAATAAAAATGTCTTTTATTGCAATTTTTTTTTATAATTTTTCAATACGTATCTATGACAATGAACATGCGTGGGAATGGTAAAATAATTTCAATATTCAATTGAGAAACTTCTGTTGTATAAATTAATGTCCATATCGTGTACATAGTATGTTGAAGCTATATGATTATAACTCAAAGTTACAAATTGCTACTTCCATAATATACAATAGTACAAAAAATATATGTTTTTAATTATATATATTTTTAACACATTGCTATCAAATATTTATAAATACCTACCTAGTAGAGTACAAGCATATAAACAGCTTTGATATTATGGAAACAATCTTAATAATTTTATGATTTCTAAGTCGAAAAAATCTTAAATTGCTAGGTAGTGCCAAATTTCTACAAATTCTCTAAAAACATAAATAAATAGTCTATATATCTAAGGGTACGAATGATATACGAACTTCGTATAGTTTAATTACAGTTTATTCAAAGTAATTAACATACTATAGTTAATTTCTTTGTGATAAAATAATAATAAAATAAAATATTACTAGTACGATGCAAATACCTTGAACTTCAATGTAGTTAACTGTTAACTAATAATTATATTAATGTTACCTACTGTACAACGTAAATAATTACATTAATTTGTAAGAGTTGCATTGACCTTACAAGGGTATTCTGTTGAACTGAATGCTTAGACAGAGAAACGGGAGAGAAGTTCTCATCGAGGAGCACATTTTCATAACACAATGAACGTTTTACATTTTCGAAAAAAAAATTGTTAATAACTGATAGTCAAGGCGATAGAGTAGTAAAAATAGACTTTGGTGCTTGTGTTTGAAATTTCAAATATTAGGATGTAGAATAAGAATCCGAGTTTGCCTATTCCAAAAACCCAATGCTAAATTCAGGGGACCAACAAACATACAGACAGAACGAAAAAATACCCGTTTTTCAACATATTTTTTCCTGTAACATTGAAAGTAAGCCCTAAATAAAAAAAGTCATTCTGTGTTTTTTGTTTATTTGACGATTTTCTATAAAGTTAAAACAACTACGAATTAAAAAAAGTTGAATTTTGCATTAACAATGGGGGAAAATTGTTTTATTAGTTTGTGTTCATCAATGTATTCCACGAAATTCACGTTTTAATGATTAAATTAAAAAAAAACATTGTTTTCTTATTTTAATGATCTCTCTTCAAAATGTTGGAAAATTAAAAAAAATTCTAAATGGTTATAAAAGTATAAAAATAGGTAATTTTAGTATTGATGATTGTTTATTATGGCAACAAGTATCTCTAAAAAACTGTGTGGCCTTTCTAAACCTTCATTTAAATCCACGATACACAATAAACTTTTTAAAATGTTCTTAATTAACAATCCTGTCAATCGAAAACCACGTTGTCGATCGTTACAAAATTTTTAGGGTAGAATTGTCATATGTTTTACTATTTGTTTTACAAAGTTTCATCAATATTTATAAATATTTACTTATTTTAAAAATTGCTCGAAACATACATATGATTTTCTACTATTTTCGCCCATTGTTAATGCAAAATTCAACTTTTTTGATTCGCAATTGTTGTAATTTTAGAGACAATAATTGTCAAATAAACAAAAAATAAAGAATGACTTTTTGTATGTTTGTTGTTCCCCTGAATTTAGCAATTTTATGGAATAGGCAAACTCGGATTGTTATTATACATAATAGTTGGGATTTTTCTGAACAACAAAATAGATGACTTCAAATATAAACGCCTTGAATGCTCTACCGCCTGGAATATGAGGCAAATAAAGTACTATGCTAACAATATTAGCAATGGATTAAACTTCCTTAATTTAACTCTGGTCAAATGAAAGTATTAAATACTGAGAAAGTAAACAAAATACATAAACATCACTACATTCGTTACACATGTTGCATTTAGTAACGAATTTTCGAAATGACGATACAGATTGAATTGAAAAATATGTTGCACACTTTTCCTCGGCATAACAATTATTTCTCACTAGTTTTTTTTTGTTAATAACTGCCGTAGATCACGTTAATCGCGTCAGGCTGTGAACATGTCTGTGTGGCATTTCAAGAATTACAACAAACTAGAAAACAACCTGCTAATGCTGTGACAAAAAGCGAATGAAAACCGAATAGGATCTGGCCCTGCCCACATATTTCCGTAATTAAGTAAATTATTAAATCAACTGATGCAAGAACTGTCACGAGGAAAAATCCTCAAAGTGTAGTGACCAAAGGACTAGAATAGTTTGCAAGGTGTCGCAACGGGCACGGAAGGCATACATAATGAATGAGGACTGATTGAAGGCTGGTTTGTGGTATAAGTACGGGGATGAAGATTTGTTTTCTTAGTAAATTGTTAGAGCCCTCAATATGAACGCTTTGGTAAGTTTCGCTGTTCCGAAGAGTACAAAGAATAGTTCTAAGGCACTATTTTTCGACCTGACAGATAGATGCAGTTGTCGGCATTGGTTAAACTTTATTCTAAAATATTTGTTCAAATTAAAGTGTGTAGTGTAAATAAATCAAAAGTTAAGATGAGCAACCGAAAAATTGAACCAAAGTGAATTGTGACATCAACGTATTATGTGATTTGTTATACTTGTTACTATTCTAAGAACAATTCTATAATAATATAAGTTCAATTGATAATGACAAAGTTGTGTTGGTAAACAAAGTTGCATTTTAAAATAAAATACTAAAGCTACACTTGTAGAAATAATTATCTACATTATACCAGAAAAAAAAAATCAAAACTAATCTAAAAAAATATATATATTAAATGTTGATTACTGAATGAATTTTTCAATCATTCAAGTAATTTTTACGCCTCATTTAATAGTAGTACCTTCCTGTTAATTAAGATATCTTAGCTTGATTCGTTTCGCTGTTTTTTTTTAATCAACTGAAAACAAATTAACCGTGACTACCAGTTTTGAAACATCTTCATAAAATCTACACTTTTACCCTGACCTTCATAAAATATAAGTTGTTTACTTAAAAATCACAAAACCAAAAGTGTTCTTTCTATTTCCTATTAATTAGAGAAGTTCATAGAGAATAATTATTAATTTTTGCGCTTATTTGCAATTATCTTGGATTTTTTTTTAACAATATCAAAATTTGAACTACTGTTATACGATTATGGCAGGATTGCTTAAATAAACTATTGGAAAATTGGAAATAATTTTGAACTACTTGTTTTTTTTTAATCGCAAACTATTACAGAACACTCTGTATAAGCCTTTGAATAAATGCTATGTACGTGTGTTATGTAAGAAAAAACTTGCTCTGATTAATAAATATGTAGCAGCACGTTTGCAAACATGTGTAAATTACTGAATTGTTAAAGAAACTACATTACCAAGGCGTTTCCCAGTTTTTCTATTCTAATTAGTGCATTTTGATTCAAATTTTTAATAAAGAAACTTTTATTACTTAATTTAATAGTTTAGTAGAAGGTATGTGCCAGACTATCAAATTTTTATCCAATTTGTTTCATCAAACAGTTTGAGAACGCCATATCAACATTATGAGAAATTTTTTGAGAGAGACGAGAGATTTTTGTAAATAAGTGAGTTATTTGTTGATATATTTACAACGAGTATATACAAGAAGAAAGACAAAGTATAATTATAAATACGTTTTTCTAACTTATCTAATAAAAAATAACAGTTATCAGCAGACTACGAAAATATATTCACTATCTATTTGTTTATATTTTGCTGTTGGTGGTAATGATTTTGTCTGTCAAAGAAATTCAAAATCTAGAACTGTGTAGATCACAATATTTTGTATAATATAAGTACACTAATTATAATGTTGTTGATTATGGAGTTCCACAGGGGTCCATTTTAGGTCATTTATTCTTCATAATATACACTTTTCATTTTAAAAACACCTTGTCTTGCTGTAAATCATACATTTATGCTCACGATCACTAGTTGTATCACTATATTGCAGAAAATGATATACAATTCGCTAATCAGAGTATTCCTGATGATTTAGACTTTCTGTTATTTGGCCAACGTTGTGATAGAGTTACTTCTAAAAATATTTGGTTATCTAATAAATCGACTGCAACCAACAGATGTCGTGAAAATCTGGCATATTCTTAAAGTTCACCGAAAAAGTTAATCTTTCAATAATCTCAAATCAATAATTGCAAGTAGAGAAACACTTTATCAAAATATTTTGATGGCAGGAAAGTCAATTTGGATATGGTCGTGAAATTGTTTTTATAAAAGAAATTGACACGAATCTAATTATGAAATTTTCCGTAATAATGTTTATCTTAGTTCTCAATTTTATTTGATTGGCAGAAAATATCAATTAGGTAAAGATAGTAACGATCATATTAAAATCGATGGAATTTTCAGGTGTGTCTTGCCGCTCTCCTTGCCCTCACCACCGCCAGTGCCAGCGTCATCGGTGGCGTCGGCTTGGTTGGCCCCGCCGCCCCAGCAACCGCCGCAGTGGGACCCTCAGCAGAAGCCGCCATCCGAGGCCCCGATGGCAGCTCGATTGCAGCCTCCGCCAGAGGAGGAGCCCTAGCGACAACCGGCACCGCAGGAGGCGCTGTTGCAGCTGCTGCCGCCCCCGCAGCCGTCGTCGCCGCCCCTGCAGTTGTAGCTGCCGCCCCTGCAGTTGCCATCCCCTCAGGCGCCGTCATCGCTGGCCCCTCAGGCACGATAGCTACGAATAACGGACTCGGATTGGCCACGGCTTTGACGGGAACCGCAGCTATCGCCGCACCAGCTGCAGCTATTGCCACGCCCGGTGTCACAGCTATCGCCACCGCCCCCGCCGCCGCGGCTATTGCCACCGCGCCTGGAATTCTAGCGGCTAAGACGCTAGGGCTTGGACTTCTAGGCCGCTAGGGGCGCTATTTTATCATATTTCAACCAGTATACGCTTCTTCCTGAACTGTTCAGTTTTATGTTAATATCTGTATGTTCATGATTTACTTTGTATAGTTAATTATAGGATCCTGTATTTTAATAGACTTGTAAGTTTCCAAATATATTTGGAATAAATGATGCACATTTTTATCAAATGTTTTATTTTCTTCTAATAATTTACCCTTGATTAATGGAAAATAATGGGACTTTTCAAATGAGGGCCTCCAAGATAAAAGGTTAAAACTTTTTTGCCGTGTTAACAGCGAGTTTTCTATTCTTGTGGTGCAAATCTGTCGAACAATCCAGTGCACAGCTATTCTACGTCTGGCAAAGTGAAAATGACATTTTTACTAACGACGTATTGTTTGAGTAATGCCCAAACAGGTTCGATTGGATTCAGATCAGGGTGGTGTGGTGGGAGTCTCAGAATAGTAAGACTTTCTTTCTGTAAAATCTGATTGACGCTTTGTAAAGGAAAATTAAGGGAAGTAGGTACATATTTTGTTTCATTTTCATAAAAAAAATACACGAATCAACATTTTCGGCATTAATTTTTTACGATGAATTTATAGCTTATAGAAAAATATTTGTACTGAAAATTATAAAGTATAAGTGCACCAATTAGTGTACTTGCAATAATGATAACAATAATTTCATGGTCAGATTTTATCAGTAGATAAATGTAATATAAAATTATGATACACCCGGATAGATAATCAATCAATGGTTTATAGTCATGTTCATCAATATTTTTTCATAATTTGTCACCAATCTATCATAAAATATAAATATTTCTAATTCATCACAGAGTTTAGATGATTTAACATTAAAAATATTTTAACAATATTTGGTTGTCACTTAAATGTCGTTTTAAATTGTAAAAAGAGCAGTTCTGGATATTCTTAATCAACCACGGCTGTTCAAATTTTTACTTCCTTGAAATTTATATCGGAAATTTAGCTAAAAATCATGTAAATGATTCCGCGTTTTCTACTTGCTATATAAGTAAATGGGATTATACAAAACGAAAATTAACAGTTTGTTTTTTTTATAGAAATCTGCGATTATAAAAATATTTGTGGTTAGGCATGATCTTACCATGCTCTTAACATATCTTGATTTTATTATTATTGTCATTTTCAATTTTTACTAAATTACAAACAGGAAACTGATGATGACCGCAAAACCTAGCGTTACTTTAAAGAATGGAATAGGTACATATTGTATAATATACAGGGTCTCCCACGGTTAGAATATCGGCATTTGAATAAATGTTAACGTTTTCAATTCTGTAACAATAAATAATACTCAAATAAACATTCACTGTATGTGTTAAATTGACAACAATAAACTGGTGACAGATTAGGTGCTTGTTTTGAAGTCCCACTAAAAATTTCACAGCCATCGTCGCAAGAAATTAAGCGATATCCGTTGACTGCACGAAAAACAGTTAAAAACCAGAAGAGATACGTATAGGGAACCATTGTACCATCCGAAAGAGAACAAAATTGTTCATCAGGTTGCGCAAAAATATAAGGGGTGTTCCATTTCAAAAAAAATAAGTTAAGATGGTTTAAAGTTGACTAAATTCGGCATTAAATTTCTACCACCCTGTATGAAATTAACTCAATTTGAAATTGTGACAGGAAAGCTTAGAGTTTTAGTTGTGTCCACTATAAATTTTATCGCTCTAACTTCATTATTGTATTTTACATCTTTTTGAATTAGACAGTGCATTTTTATTTTTTTTTTTTTGAAAGAAGTTAAATATATTAAAAAACAGTTAACTTTAAGAATAGGAAACCTTCATGAAAGTTCACCTAAAAATTGATGTAGAATTCAAAATTGCACTTGCATACAGAGTGTTCCATTTAAAATAACGAAAATGATGCTATTATTTTAGTTGAAAAGGGCATGCCCAAAAACTCGCCCAAATTTTCAAAATTAAAAATGTAGTCTCTGAAATATGTTTAATGTCTCGTCACCGTGGGGCACCCTGTATATTACGTCCAAGATAAAAAAAAGTGAGTCAAGTGAGTTTCAAAAGTGAAGTGAAATATTACATCAAATTTTTATAAGGGTGCACCAGTTTTACTTTGAACAAGATTCACATCAAGAATTCAAAATTTATACAAAATGTTTAAGTCAAAAAGAAAATTAAATTTTCTGAGAGCAATAAACGAATTGTTTTCAAATTTCACATGAAATTCAGCTCAATAGGAATAGCTAGCGGCATATAACCTATACTTCTGAACATTTCTAACTGATATACAGAGTATTCCTCGTAAGAGATCCATCCATAACTCTGGTAATACCAATAATACAAAAAAAAGTTTCAAGCAGAAGTTGCACCATATCAATATCTTCACATTTTAAAATAATTTTCGATTACACAGGGTGTCCAATTAGTTATGGACGTAACCTAACTTAATTTTTTCAAACGTAACACATTGTATTTTTAAATTTTGGGTATAAAATTGTACAATTTGTATTTAATAATAATGACTAACAAGAAAGAATAAAATAATAAGTATGTAATAAGACCAAATTTGGTCTTATTTCACATGTTTTTTAAAGGTGTCGGTGCCGTATCCTCGGAAATACAAAGAATCTCCGAAACGAAACGTAATGTAGTTTTCAACACCACGTTTGTTTTTTCCATTTTTTCCCGAAGCAGAAAATTAGAAGGAATGAAGAAATTCAAAATAAAAATTCTTGAAAAAATACTTATTAAAATATTTTTTCATATCTATTTTGCTGGAATGCATCTTAATGAGTAAGACAATAGCGTATTTATATCTTCGTGATCTCAAATTAGTAGAGCTCAGACAAAGGTAAACAGTATTTTAAAACGATCAAAATAAACAAAATTTATTCAATAATTTTCATTTTCAAGTAAATAGACAAAGGAAAGAAAATATCAATTCAAAGTGTTTTAACCAAATTTCAACAAAATCCAAACTTACAAACAGATGCTGCGATAAAAAAGTTATCTACGAAATATATGAAAATACCTATTTCATTTTAGAGTTCATAGCCCACATTTCCCGTAGATTCTCTTTGCATTTCCTTAACTGAGTTTCATTCTTGAAGTACAATAGTACAAACATATTTCAAATATCAAATTTCTAATTTAGTACAATGTAGAGCACTTTGTTGCTTAGAGTCATTAATATGCTACAAAAAGGATTTTGCAATTTGAATATTTATAAGAAATAAATATTGTTTTCCGTAAATTTGGAAAAAATGACTCTCCACGCCCTGTAATCACAACGAGCTATACAAGTTTGCAGTAAACCAGAACGATCCTCGACATGTGCAACAAATATATGAGGAAGGCGTGATGATTAAATAAATTTTAAATGAAGGTCTAGGCAGAGTATGGACGATATAAAAGAATCAGGGTGTTCTCATATCTTATAGTTCACATCATCAGCCCCAACATGAACACATTGGTGAGTACCTTCAGTTGTTTCGCTGAAAGTGACGTGATTTCTTGTGAAAATTTAAATCATAATTTTTCGTCTACAACAGATATATTTTTCCCCACAACTGATGTTACAAAGAGATAAATAAAACTTAATTTAGTTTTTTTTTATTTAACTGGTTATTTTTGGTGCACGCCAAAGGGACTTTTTTTGTGGGGCTGTCTTATCCTTAAATGTTTTTTATTACTGTATGTTAAAATTGTGTTCTTGCCCTGGAAAATTACTTTTGTTTTCAATATTTCCAAGAGATCTCTCAACAACTGAAAATGCCACAATTAAATAATCAAACACTATAACAAAATTTACCTTGGTTGTAAACAAAATTTACTTTAAAACTATTACCTCAACACATTATTTCGTATGTGCTTTATTTATTAATTTTTTGCATTTCTGTTTTTCGGACTGTAATAAACTTGGACAAAACAAATTTGGTATAATTCATTTAATCAATAAGAATGGGGTGAATACTTTTCTTGACTCTTCCATTGTGTAACTGTGAAAAATTGCATTTGACACAGCATTAAGAATGCGTTTAAACCCAAATAAATACGTTTGTTACGTATTAAGAATTAAATATTTTATTAACAACATGTTTAAAATTATGCTGTAGTGGCTATTTAATTTCTTTTGCAATGTCCTACCAATCAGAAGAATGCGGAAAAATTGTCTGAATGTATGTTTTTGGATGAAAGTTTGTATCTAAATTTTGTGAAACATCTTTCTTTTACGTATTTATGAAAACTAATAAAACCGTTCTTGATTCTCTTGGATTTTTGGTTTAAAAATGTTTTATTCGACAGCAATTAAAACTTTTAACTCACTATCATGTTGTTGATTTTGTTATTAATAGCAAAACTCGTCCTATATCTTATTATAGAACGAAAGAAAAAAATTAATCAAGCCATGTATCTTACAGCAACTTATTATTATTTATCAAAAATTGTCTAAGGTGTTTATTGAGCAACTTATTTCTAAGATTAATCCACTAATTGAATTTTGATGTGAACCAACTCGAGCCTGTAAAGACTTTTATTTTGAATTCGTGTCACTGAAGATTGATCAAATTCGGGTACCCACAAATCGTTTAAGAAAATTATATAATCGTAAAGCATTTGTTTAACTTTCAAATAGCTTGTTAGGGAACCGTGATTTCAATTTTTTTTTTATCAAACCACACGGTCTGGTGAAATTAGTCTCTTAGAAAATATGACGAGCGGTTTGATATCTTAAAACCTGACTCACAAAATCTTACACGCTGATCTCATAATTTTGATTATTAAATTAAATTATCAAATAATATTTTTTTTTTATAAAAATAGCTTGTTATTTTTGTTGCTCTAACACTACCACTATTTCTGCGTTCTGTATTTAGGATGAAGTTTTGTAACGACAGTGCATTTTGACAATAAGGTTAGACTAGATTTTTGGAATTTCAGAACATTGACTTTATTGATAGAATTTTTTTGGATTTTTAAAAAATTTACTAATCTTTATAAAACCTTTATTAGTTTATTCTATTTTATTCAGATCATTCTCGTCCTCGTTGGCATTTCCACAGCCAGTGCTTCCATCATAGGCCTAGGCGGCACTGTGGCGCTTGCCGCACCTGGAGCACCTGCCGTCGCCATCCAAGGACCTTCGTCACAAGCAGCTTTGACGGGTCCGGACGGCAGCGCCGTTGCCGCAGCGACGCTAGGCGGCACCGTAGCCACGGGAGGTACTATTGGTGGAGTCGTTACAGCCGCCGTTGCTCCTGGCATCGTCGCAGCTGCACCGGCTGTTGTAGCAGCTCCTGCTCTGGCTGCTCCTGCTGGAGCTGTCATTGCGGGACCCTCGGGAACGGTAAGTTTATCTACTATTAAAAACAAAGAATTATTAAACCTACATAAATAAATAGTTTTTTGTTTAATAACAAGTAGGTAAATTATAGCAAGTACTTGCATTAAATGGGGTATAGGGTTGCCAACTTGTCATTTATTAATTTCAGGACAAATTAGGTAAAAGTTCAGAACAAAGGTAAAAAATTAAGGACAATTTTAATTTTCTTATGAAACAAACAAAAACTATATAACGTGAAAATCTTCTTGAACCTTTTGTTGAATATTAAAATATATTTATTTTCATGGGAATTGGGTTCTGGTGCGATAGTCGGTTAAAAAAAGGATGAAAGAAACAGCAGCGATTTCTTTCTTGACGTTTCGTTCCTGATCAGGAACTTTTTCAAAAGGCTTTTATTGTTAAAATTGTTAGTTAATTAAATAAAACCTAAACAACAACCATTTTTCGTAAAAAAATTTTTAAAAACTGCATTCATCATCGTATATTGGACAAATTTTCACACTATAATCTTATTGTGTTTTTTCATTTTAAATTTAAAAATAGCTTGCATTTTTAGATGTTGTCAGCGTGTCAAGATAATATTTTTAATAGGAAATGTGGTATGTGGATATGTTGAAAATGAAAAAATAAAATTTCTAAAAATGCAAGCCATTTTCAAATTTAAAATGAAAAAACACAATAATATTATAGTGTGAAAATTTGTCCTATATACGATGATGGATGCATAGTTTTTTAAACATTTTTTTACGAAAAATGGTTGTTGTTTAGGTTTTATTTAATTAACTAACAATTTTAACAATAAAAGCCTTTTGAGAAAATTCCTCATCAGGAATGAAACGTCAAGAAAGAAATCACTGTTGTTTATTTTATCCTATTTTTAACCGACTCTCACAGCAGAACCCAATTCCCAAGAAAATAAATATATTTTAATAAAAAACTATATTTTTTAGTAAAAAAATATTTTCTCCGTTATTCATTACTTATACAAAATAGGGAATACACAAAAAATACAAGTAAAACAATATAAAATAAAAATATGTTATTTTTTTAAAAAAACCTTTTTTCTTGAACATTTCTTGAAATAATATAGAATTTTAATATTTTTAAACTGTTTAAATTAAATTAAAACAATCAACGGTACAAACAGAATTCAAGCAGTGAATTTAAAAAAATTCTTAACTTCCAACGAAGGCAAACAGTTTTTCAAAATTATTTTACATAGTTTTGGTATGGACAGTAGGTATATGAACAATTCTTTATTAATGAAAATTTAAAATCAAAATTCCTTTTTGCAATAAGTATTAAGAAAACTAAGTACAGTACATTTTTAGCACTCTCTCCAAAATGAGGCAAGTACAAATCAGGAACTTCATTTTATTCACGACCAATACCACCTTTCGTTAGGCTTCAGTTTTTTCTTTTTAGACCAGGTAGATCCCTAGATCTGGGCGAGGTCCGTAACATTTTCAAAATTGCAATATTGTTTAAAAAATTTTAAAAAATGCCTATTTTATCTGAGTTTTTTACTTATATATTGGAACCTATGCATTTTGGAAGAATGTTGCAGAGGAAAAGAGGTTTTAGGATTGAATTTTGCACAATATACCGTCCGTTAAAAATGTTAAAATTTATTACCGATGTTGCAAAATAGCAATATTTAATGAAAAAAAGGCAAAATAATCAAGTTTTTTGGATAACTTTTTTAAATATTTTAATTGCTCCGAGGGCATTCTAATTTTGGTAAAAAAAATCTTTAGAGTATAATAAAACAGCGCACCAAATTTCATTAAAATCGGTTAGATAGTTTTTACAAAATAATTTTCTGAAAAAAATTTTGGAATTTTCAAAATGTTGCACAGCCTCAAATAAAGCAGCTGGATACTTAAAAAAATTTTCACAAAGAAAAGACCGCTCAACCTTTCAAATGGTTGAATAGCAACTTTTTTTGATGTAATGGAATATGAAGAAAAGACATTAAAGTTTGTTTGTGTCTTGACAAGCAATATATTATTGACAAAACGTAAAGTGACCCTCAATATTTTATATCTTGCAAAAAATTGAGGATGTAGTTTTTGAAGGTGCAAAGCTAGTTCACATTTAAAACAATAGTTAAGATATGTAGGGAATAATAAAATTAAGGAAACATATTTTTAAGTAATAATAGAATTGCAGTCCTTGAAAACATATAAGTCAATTTTTTTTAAGTAATTTAATAAAAGAATATCGAATCTTTGTATGTTATTGCATCAGAAAAATAATATGAAATTTGTTTTATTATAGAATGTGTGCCATTACATTTTTTATATCAAAAAAATATTGGCCTGTAATAAATTGCTTCACCAAGGTTAGGACTGATACAATCAAACCAAGTTCCAAATACAGTAATGTTGATAGTAAATAGTCTGTTCAAATTTTGAGACGTATATGTGACAAACAAGTTAATGAAAAAATTTTAAAACGTCATCATAGTTTTCAAAACTTCATCATATTTGATTCACATATACAGATTAGGAATTTGTTCAGAATCAGTTGAAATAACTTTTCAAGATGAGTTAAAAATCTGAACAAGGAATGAACATAATGTATATGTAACACATTAATGTTTAATTTTCATATGCTTTTTTCAGATCATTAGTACTGGAATCGCCACCACGAAGCTCCTAGCTGTTCCTCGTGTATGGATAGGTTAAACGTTCCAAAAATGTGATCTCCAATTGCCGTACAAAGAAAAAGGGATTGATCTTACCACTACGCTGTGTTCAATGCATTCAATGTTCAAATATAAGTGTATCTCAATTATCAAATAGTTCGCAATTTGTTGCCCTTGGATGATGCAACTATTTTTTAAATTTGTAATGTTTGCCCATTCTAGTCTACGGAATAAAATCTTACAAATTTATATATTTGTATTTAATATCACCTCTATTTTTAAATTTTGATTGTTATAGGGACCTTCCTATTCCAATCGAATTGTTCCACAAGTACGTGTCAGTTTATTCTCGTCCTTTGTGCATGAAATGTGACCTTTGAATGTGCTGCTCCACCCTACATACCTACTACCATTTTTAAATTGTAAAAAAATCGTAGCAAATGAGTAAATAGTGTAATAGGTGGCAAGGTCAGCAACGGTAATAATCGGTTCAGAATTTCAATTGCACAGGTATGCTACGACTTCGTTTATTATTGCTACAACAGATGACAGCGGTGTAACTGAAAAGAGTCAGATAAAAAAAAAGAGGGAAAAGTGAAAAAATAATTTATCAGCAAGTGATATTTTTACTTTACTCTAAATGTCGTACTTAATGTCTTGCGCAATGATATCAAATAATTAAAATATGCTAAAACTATCTAATTTCATAGATAATTAATGATTATTTAGAATAAAAATTATAAATTTGTGGGTTTTTTCGTGAGTGAACATATTGGAACAATTTTTATTTTCACCTTATATTCTTACTATTATCTAAATAGAAAAAATAAATCGCGATGCGCCTATGGACTAAGCCTACTAGATTCTATATCACATGTCAATCCATGCGACGTACTGACAGAGATAATTTAAAATGACTGGCATGTTTATGTCATTTATAGTTTGTTTTCATTCAAATTATACAATAAATTTTAATTTCATAGTTTAGTTTTGATATCAAAAACATATTTTCGAACTTTACATCAGACATTTGTTTATACAATTTTTAAATGTAAGGGTAACAAAAAGAATATAAAAAAGCTGATATTACACATACTTCTGGGAATTATTTTTTTGTCAATAATGATATGACAAAACAACATTTTTTATTAATTTTAATGAATGTTATGCTTTTTATAAAATATTATTGTAAATTAGATAGGAGAAATATAAATTAATTATATTTTTCGTCATAGAATTTAACAAGTGAGACATTTTATTTAAAAACGATTTTTTATGGTTCTGTTGTTTGTAGTGTTCACAATGAAAATTCCTTTACACTCATTGCTCACACAAAAGAGTAGTTTAGATAATTATCTAAACAACAATAGAGCATTTGAGAATTGTTAACAAAAACATAAAAGATTATCGTAATTCTAACTTTAATACTATATGTCATGTCAATTTTTTTATATATTTTAATTTAAAACAGTTTGTAACTACATGTTACTGTTTGTTATATAACTGCAAAATTAAACGATTTCTTACAATATTGAAAGTAAAAATATATCATGTGTGGTAATCCTGAATTAGTTTTTTTAATGGTTTATACACATACCTAGATGAAGGAATTGCTATCTGCTACTAAATATTATTCAAAAAAAGTTTTTATTTGTTTAATGAACTGTAATTCTTAAATTATACAGAATGATTCACAAACGGTGACCAAAAATTAAATCTCTTATTCTTTGGTGAATTTTTAAGATTTACTTAAAAATCAGGCTTTTTTTCGAAAAACATAATAGAGTAGTAATTTGTAGAAAATTGAAAGACGAATCCGAAAATATTGTTGTTACCATAAAGCAGTGGAGTATTATTTTATTTTAGAAAAATATGCCACCCATATCCTGTATGTCCGCCACTGGAGCATCTAAATTTTAGAAGAAGGCCTCAGATTTTGGATAATGTTTACATAAATACATATGCCCAATTTCAAATTGTTGCACTTCCTACTTTTTAAATTATTTAAAAAAATTAAAAATATATTTTCAAGTTTAACACTCTATATCTTTTAACGAACCGTCCTAGATAAAAAATTTATAGGAAATATTCCCCATAAAATTCACCAAAGAATACGGTTTCATTTTTTTAATCATTTGTAAATCACTCTGTATAGTGTCTGTAATAGGACCTGTTTAGGGTAAAAACAAAAAAAAAAGCATATTTTAGGGTAAAATATATTTGAACATAAAACATACCTTATTGCGCAAATATTTTAGAAACAAACGAGTACCTATCTTTAGTTAAAGATATTAACTATTCTTTAAATAATCACCTTTATGGTAGTGAGTGCACTCAGATTAAATAAAAGCTGACACCAGTATTTAAAACAAATAACAACACTGTTAACACTAAGCTACATTGACTAATAAATAAATACACCATAACCTCTTTGTACAATAAGACTAGACATATTTAATAATACATAAACATTATTTTTCCTCATTTTTTCCCTTTTGCTTCTTTAACTTTTTCTCTTCTACATCCCTTCCATACCTATTCCATAGCTGTGCCGAAACATCGTCAATCTCCTGGTCAATCGTCCTAGGAAGACCAGATACCGACGCCAAAGGAACATTTGTCAGGTCTATCTGAGACGAATCTATTCCGTAGTTAGCCAACTGAGTTCCTACTATTCCATTCCGAGGAATACCAACCGGAATGAGGTTAGTATCCCTTAATAGCGGAACAGATATCCGTTGAGGAACCGGTCCGCTTGAAACTCCATTGCCCGCCAGGATCACCTGATTTGTGGCTAGCTGATCTATTTTACCATCAGTTCGAATCGACGTATGTAGACCATTTCTCCCGCTGTTTTCTGATAGTACAGCATTTGCATTGTCTATTCTCTGAATATTGGGTGATTCTGATGGGGATATCAAGCCAGAAGCTCGTGGAATTGTAGACACAGTCACAGTCGATCCTAGATCTATTGCGCCTGTGGGTAACGGTCCAATTTCTGGAGGGATGATGTTGGCAGAAGGGATAAGAGAAGGGTTTATGTTCAACTGTCTATTGTTAATGAGATTTAAATCTCTAGATGATATAGTTGAGACTATTTCTCCAATTCCCTGGGTAGATGTTACAACAGGCGTTAATGTAGAAGATAATACTGTATTCGGACGTGGAGTAGATGATATACTGTTATCTAGATTATTTATTACTCCATACGACGATGCAGGTTGAATAGATGCGCCAATATTTGATGTTTGGACAGATCCGGATGTTGAAATAAGTATTGGAGGAGCCAGAGTAGTTGAAACTACTCCTACAGTAGGTACCACAGTACTAATAGACGCGGGTGCACCTACTGTAACGCCTCTTAGTTCAATCGGAGGTGCTGCTGAAGATACAAGTAGTGGAGAAGCTGTAACCGTAGCAATTGGTGGGCCAAGTGGAATATCAACAGTCCCTTCAACGACTGGTATAGCTCGCAGTGGTGTTGTGACTGTAGATATTACTGGAACTGCTGCTACCAGTGGTGCGGCTAGTAACACTTTTGCAGGTTCTGAAAGAAACACAGTTGTGTAAGAACATAACCGATAGAAATAAAGAAATGTCTGAAACTATTAGGTACGATTCGATTACTGGAATTTTAACGCAATTAAAGAGAGTTGCATTACCTGATATAGTCGTGGAAGCTGGTCCAGAAACAATTGAACTCGATCCTCTAGTAGAAATGCTTCCAGAAGGGCCCACCAGGTCGGTTGACTGCTGTGGTTCTATCAGAGGTGCATCGACAATTTCGGTTTCAATGATGTGAGGATCAGGCTGTATTATCTCCACTGTATGCCCAACCGGTACAACAGGCGCTACTGCAGCTACTGGAGCTACAATTGGAGCAGCAGTTACGGTTGCTACTGGTGCCACAGCGACTGTAGAAATAGCTGGTTCTACTGACTGAAGGGGTTCTACATCTAGAGTGTCAGGAACCACAATAGGTTGAGAAAGGTCCTGTGTAACGACAGACCCTCCTTCTGCTTGAGCAGTGATGACGCTGCCATCTGGGCCTTTGATGATGGTTTCTGAGTTGGGGCCTTTGTATAGTCCTCCCACTCCAGGATGAACGGGTAGCTCGTTGAGGGAACCTTCAGCGAATGCTAAGTAGCCCGAGAGGGCTAGCAGCGAAAGCTAGAACAATATTTTTGATATTTAGAATTGATTTTGTATACAGAGTGTTCTTTAATTCTGCTAAACTTCTACGTTTTCGAATAAAAAGTGTGTAACTTGTCGAAGGTATAATCTTACAAATAAATAAAGAACTTATTAACTATTTAACCCCATATACAAGATGTTAACGAAATAAGTACTCACAATTGAAGAGTATGTAATACATGTTAAAATGTGATGAAAACTTTAGTAGAGTTTTTGTCAGTGGCGGCCTCTAAGGGAGATACAGCCCCTTGAAGGGGCTTTTTATTTCATAACTTCAAAACAGTTTAATGTTAAATCACGAATTTTTGGGGTTGTATTACTATTTATATGCTTAATAATCGGTATCATATACAAACCAAAATTTGCTACAGGGGCCTAAGAAAATGTGGGATCATGCGGAAATTTTACAATTTTTTTGTACGCAATTTTTTTTCGCGATTTAATATTAGACCGTTTTGAAGTTATGCTATAAAAATTGTTTCTTGAGTTACCCCTTCAAGGGGCTGTATCTCCCTTAAGGGCCGCCACTGACAAAAACTCTACTAAGGTACTCTCCAATTTTGAGTACTTATTTCACTAACACCTTGTATAATAAGCGTATTTATAATTTAATACCTCTTTCGACCAATAGACATTATTAATGGCATCTGAAACAACAATTGCACCGGCATATGCTGTTAGAAACAAACAAATAACCGGTTGTTAGTGAAAAGCGGTGGCAAAACTCAAGCTAAATGCATGCATGCTTACACAACAAGTGCGCCCCCAAACTGAAATAGTAGCGTGAGCGAAACAGGTACACAAAACAAACAATGCTCTAAATTACCATAAACTGCATGGCAGAATCCGTGAACTGTAACTAGGATATAACTTAATGTCATTTATCTCTTAACTTCTGTTTTATATCGCTATGTAACCTTGCTACATTTTTATTAGCCACAGCACACGCCTTTTCTACACATAAATGCAAAATTATTCGTTATTATGAAATTCCATATTTCTGGAATTTTCTTTGCGCAAGCATTCCTAAAAGCTTCACAATATCGATCGCTTCATCTCTTACAAAAAAATGTCCTTCCTTGTTTAGTACTATCGAAATGTGCATTTTGTATTTTAGTTTAGAAGTAAGTGATGTTTAAAATGTTCAGTTTTTATGCTATTACCATCGATTAATAAATAGTTACCCACCCATTTATTAACCGAACTGTTCTAGAATATGCAAAGTAATTATTTAAAAACTGTGCCTTTCACTATGTATCCCCACTTACTTGAGAAAATTACTGTTGGCTACCTTCCTTAACGTCGATTAGGGCAAATCCATTTTTGTGTTTAAATACTTTTATTTCATTTTTCAAATGTAAACATATAGTTAATTCAATGTCACTGAAACAGTAATAGTTGAAACATTTTCCTTGGCAAACATAGAAAACAAAGTTTGAAATACGAGCAATTGTCATTTTTATTTGGAATGACATATACAGGGTCTAATTCGATCTATAAACTTTTATTAAGATACACCCAGTAACCTGAAGACTTACGGACAATGAATTAAATATCTTCTGAATCTTCTAAACCCGTTGTAGTATCGATATCGATTTTTGGTTGTTGATGGTTTGTATTTTTGTATTTTCAAGATAAAAAAATCTACGTTTTTTTTTTTTATTAAGGTATGAAATTTAATATACTTTTTTAAGATTCTCTAAAAACCAACAGGGCATCTTCAGTTCTCGTCATTTTAATTTTTGTGTTAATTTTAATCAACACCTACTCGAATTTATACATCCTGTATATTAAACGATTGATTGATTGATTTTGAGCCCTGTTCATATAAGCCAAATAAAGTATCTAACATCAGAACATTATTAAATATACTTGTAAATTCAATGTAATAAATAATTTATTTATAATTGTCATCGTCGATCGCCAATTCTTCGATCCATCTCATCAGTCACGACTTAGGGACACCCACTCCTTTGTTCATTATTCGTTAGGTCAGTTTTATACTCACGGTACCACTTGTACACATTATTATAATTCATCACATCCTTAAATAGTTTTGATTTTGTTAAAGATCTGGAACGGCGCCTTCCTCACGCAGCTGGAATAACTAATTTCAACACGCCACTACAACAACAGTTCTCAACTGAGAGAGAGAGTTATGTTTCCAAGACCTTTGGTTAAATGCAGTGTTACCAACTCGTCTGTACGGTTCAACTATAACAAGCGCATTTCAGGTTGAATTATATGTGACGTTACAATAAAAGAGTGTATTACAACTGAACTGTGTAGTGAACAGTTAAGATCATTAATCAGCACAATCATCAGACATAGACCGGTTCTGAACTTATTAGTTCTCATTGGTATGCCATTCGTTGGCCAGTCTTGGTCTGATGATTCTGCTGATGAACAGATATATCAAGTATGCTTCAATATTGGACGGGTTTGTAGTCCGCAGAGTAGTTAGCGTTTAAATTAATAAATTCTGCTTTGTATATCCATCATTTATTTAATCAGTTCTGTAATAAATATGGTATAGTACAAAATATACAAACAAAAATCTATAGACCGTTTTTCAAGGCAGTTTCGTTATAGTGACAGGCCAAATAAAAATTTCCAGTAATGCATTAACAAAAAGAGCATCCACCTTATTCTGTGTAAGTTAATAAATTACTGAAACGTTTACAACGAAGTTTATTACATCCCCGTTGATCAACCATGATGAATATGGCCTAATCCAGCTAGTCCAAGTCCAAGACCGGCGTGTCCAACACCCCAACCAAGAGCGGGTCCAGCGATGACGGCTCCGTGGGCAACAGCTGGTGCGATAACAGCTCCATGGGCGGATGGTCCAGCGATGACAGCTCCATGAGCGGATGGTCCGGCGATAACGGCGCCATGGGCGGCGGGTCCAGCGATGACAGCGCCGTGGGCGGCGGGTCCAGCAATTACGGCTCCATGAACACCGTGTCCTGCGAGGACTGCGCCGTGCGAGACCGCTCCGCTGACGATTCCTGCTGGTCCTGCGATGATGGCGCCGTGGCCCAGTGAGGGGGCGGCGGAGGCAACGGCGAGGGTAGCAAGGGCGACGAAGATCTGGAAATAGGACATGTTGACCGTTATCTACATTATTTTGATCATAAATTTCTATAAACTTTCGAATATTCTGGATATTGCCTGAGATTTGACAGTAAATAGGTAATTAGAAAAAATTAGTAAAGTTAATAGTTGAATAATAATAAATAACAGTAAGAATATTGGTCTGAGTCGGTTTCAGTTGCATCTTTCAAACACATACTTCTTGTTTTTGATTAGTAACTTCGGGTGTCCCCCAAGGGTCCTACTGCGGTGCCTTGTTATTTAAATATATGGCAAACTTTATAGTTTCGCCGTATGCAAAAGAAATAAAAATGTATTTATTGTGACTTCTAAATTGATGTTTATTTGAATTTTTGTGTCTCGATGTCTTATTCCTTAGGCAAGTCTCAAAAAACGTTTCTGTAATTTTAAAACTATTTTTAGTAATTTTTCTGTAATTGTTTAGGTCATTATGAACACAACACAAAATAGAAACCAAAATATATCAGGAGAAAACTGGAGAAAACAGAAGAAAAGTAAGAAAATATACACGAAATTTTACAATAAAAACTGAGCTAAAGTTAGATATAAAGAAAGCTTAATCAACTGAAAAAAAAACGAGAATAAACATCAAATTAATATTAAATTTATATTTGTTAAATTCGGATATTTCAAGACGGTGTCTCGCAAATAATACAAATGACAGTTTTTATGTTGAATTATTATCAGTAATTCCTTGCTTTTCCAAACTTATTGTCAAACAACTTCTCTACACGAACAAATATGTACAGGGTGTCCGAATTTCATAGGATAACTTTACCTAGTGATAGAATTTCTCAAAATAAAAAATGGTTCTCATAAATATATTGAAAAATGCTTAGCTTCTGAGATACAATATGTTTGAGTCAATATTTTAACATTTTTACTTAAAAATATGTCTCTCCAATCTGTCTGTTTTCAAATATATACAAATAATTTTAATTTAGTTGTTTGGATATGAACAGAATTTGTATTTTTATTCTTAAAATTAATTTAATTTATTTTTATTCTTTTCAATTTCACCTTTAACAAAAAGTCCATTACTCGTGTTAGAGCATGATAAATTTAACTTGATGTAAATATGAGACTTTAAGATTTCATTTCCAAATAAATGTTTTGCAGCAGGTTCGGTCACCTTTTAACATTTCAATTTACAATTTGGATGGTCATGCAACAACGCCTTAAAAATAATTTAACTTCATTAAGTAAATGTCACCTGTAAAATTAAGAGCTTTTATTTGTTGTTTAGGAAAGGATAAAAATCTGTAGACATATTAATTTACTATTATTTGTTTTAATTATCGATTGACCTTGAAATTCTACCGATATTTCATCAGGTGTGGTTCAAAATATCAAAAAAAAAGATTGGAATATGGTGTTTAAAGTAGAAAAAAAAACTTAAAATAAACGTATTTATAGTCAATGAATTTAGATACCAGTTATATTTAACTATTGATATAAACAAATGACAATTTTAAATTTCAAGTATATATTCCAATTGTAAGTAAACAAATACTTTTTACGTAGAAATATTCAAATTATTTTAGATGGAGAAAGTATTCTACTAAAAGAAACCAAACAAATAAAGAACTAAATTTCTACCGAATTGTAGAAATTTGTATTATTAACAAATTATTAATGAAAGTGTATTTACTTAAATGAAAGTATAATCTAACTTTTCCAAGTTTCCAAGAATAATTAAAAAAATAACTTCTGCAGCTTAATTTTCCAACATATTTTTAGAGCAATAAATTCTTATGTGAGTTTCAATAATAATACTATAATAATTCTTACCAAGGCGTTCATGGTTCTGCTGTAATAGTCTGGAAGGACTTAACTGCTGATTGTTGACATTCACCCCATCTATATATACTTAACACTGGCCTTCATTATTACTGACTAATATGTAGTTTTAAAAAAATTATGTAATGAATAATAATGTTGCTGTATTTGATTGTTGACATTTTCAGGAACTGTTTGCACCGGTTACAGTTCCAATAACTATTACACCTACCACTATTATTTTTATTGGACATTAACAAAAATAAAATACCGATACAAAAATAATTCTCCTTTGTAATCTCAATTTTTTAAAATACGTAGTTTGCCTAGGACTTTTCATTTACAAGGTGTTAAAGTTGTTGATAAATATTTACGTAAAAGTCTCTGAAAATGTTTGTCGTAGACGGATGAAATTTAAGGTAGTGTTGGTTTTTCCTCAGACAATGATGATCCTCAGAAAATGATGGACAATTAGTCAATGGTGGTTCTCAAACAATGAGGGATAATCAGTCAATGATGTACTATAATGAAAAGTCAATGATGTACTATAATGAACAGTCAATGATGTACTATAATGAACAGTCAATGATGGTCCTCAGACAATGATGTACAATCAGTCAATGATGGGCAATAATGGACAGTCAATGATGGACAATCAATCAATTTCAGACAATGATGGTCGTCCGACAACGATAGTACTCTGAGACGTTCCGCAGTGGCATCTGTAACTGATCGCATTCAAACGTTTCGCCGTTCTTCACTGCCGGCATCTTCAGTGGTGACTCTGTCTGTAGCGGCAGTAGAACCAACAACAACCGAAATGAACATCAGAGGTTCTGATAGCGGGTCTGCCCTTACAGAGTCTAGCTCGAGAACGACAACGACAAATATTCCTAACCAATGCTAAGGAAGTGCAAAGTAATTATAGAAAATGGCTGTACAAGCCTTAAAATCACTGTATGGGGTAGAGAATTAGATAAAAAATGCAAAGAATTTATAGAAAATCATATCAAGCAGTGGCGGAGGTACTGGGAGACGCTGCTACTAAAAACCCCTGAATTTTTTTTTTTAAAATTTGATCGGTCATTTCAGTTCTCATTATTTGTTGGCCAAAAAATTCTCTTGCACCTAATTTTTAAATAAAGTTTATAGGTAATTCTGAAACTACTCGTTTCACCCTAAATAACTGTACACAGGATATTTTTCTTAGAAAAAAATTATGATTTCTACATCAATGAATTTTGTTTTTAAAATTTTATTGAAAAAAAAATTCCTTTATATTTTTTATTATTTTACTGGCTATTTTTTCAATACCATCTGTTTTAGAAAAGTCTAAATATATTCGATATTAAAGTGATCCTGATCTCATTATGAACTGCTGTCTTGTTTGTTTTATGAATTTTTGCCGCTTGTGGAAAAACACTAACCTTGTTAGATAAGGCGTTGTACGCTGTCACTGTATTTTTTTAATATACTCGTACAAAAGGAAAAAAAAATTCCTTTTGTGACTGCCTCTACAGTTTAAGGAGCATGCAAGATTAAGAAAACTTACAAAGTGTGCACCCTTCACTTAATAATGACAATGAGATTAAAAGAAAGAAAAGAATTAAGGTGTATCTATGGTACGCTCTAATAACCGTGCAATATGCACGTAAATCTTTTATTTTTAAGGGGTCCTCAAGTGTATTAGCAACCTTAGCGAGCTTAAATTTAAATACCTACAAAATAAATGCAAAAAACTTTTACTGTAACTAAATTGTTAAAAAAATAGACCAATTGTTATGTTTACTACATGTTGTGGTTGTTATTCAGTGCCGGACGAGGCATCAGTCTGCGGAGTAGTTGTTTCCAGCAATATCTTAGTTATTAATAGTAGTTTATGTGTCAAAGAGTTGTGGAAAAAAAGAGTGTCAAGACTTTATCAGATGAGAATTTTAGAAACATGATTTGAATTAGATTAATAATTTTTTATGTAAAATACACATTGTACTATAATATCTATATTTATGTCTGCATAATCAACATAATGAAGGACACTAATTAACATATACAAGAAAGATTTTTTTACTCAATTGCCATTACATTACACAATTATAATCAATACAATTAATTATAGCTCTTGAATTAGATTAAATGTGGTGAGTCTAGAAGTAATGTCGTATAAAAGTAACAATATATTTTTTCCTTGAAAACTTCGCAAAATTTGTAAAAGTGCTCAAATTATTAAGAGTACCAATAAATACCAATAAAAGAAAATATATATTTTTCTTTTATGAACATAAGTTTGCTTTCCTTTTTTCCAGGTGTTTTAATGGTAAATGTTTTATTCTGAAATGAAATAATTTAGCTTTAGTTATCTCTATTATAAAATATGCCAATTTGAATTAAACATTAAATATTCATACATCTTTATATACATATTTATGTTTTGAGTAAAAGGAATAAGAATTTTTTATGTAATATGGTAGTATTTTTTTGCTGTAATAAAATAAAAAGTAGTACTAAATTATTGATTTTGTTTAATTCTTCAATGTTTTGACAACTATGAGAAAAAAGTAGGGTTATACCTACTTTTTTATATCGCTGAATTCATCTTTAGAAAGGCATAAAATATAGAGTCCTATTAAAAAAAAATGTCGGTAATGTTTATAGGTCTATCAAACACGGCTCAAAAAAATAGAAAATATTGTAGAAAAGTGACAATTTCTATTTATTAATTGACCTGCGATTTTTTTAAATTTCAACTGGAAAAAAATATGAATTTTGTTCCATTATTTTGGGACACAGTGTATATATAAATAACATATAACTAGCGCCAATATTTTCTATATTTCATTTGTAAATATTCTCTGTTGGCAACGATTTGTTTGCCATGGGAAATAAAATTCAAATTTATAATTTTTGAGTTCTTTATTGAACAATATTGCACATAAATAAGGAATATATATTACACAATATACAATCGTTACAGTGAGGAAGAAAGCAATTTCGTTACAAGAAAGTCTTTCAAGGCGTAAAAATTTTCAGTGATATCTCCAAAACGAAAACATTTAAAAGCATGATTACTTCATCATTCTTCACCGCAAAATATCACTAAAACGTTTACAATTTCCTACTCCCCATTTACCAACCATGACCCAAGAGACCGGCATGACCCAAGACACCGGCATGGCCCAAACCAAGTCCCAAACCAAGGGCTGGTCCAGCGACGACAGCTCCGTGAGCAATAGCTGGGGTGATGACGGCGCCATGGTTAACGGGTCCGACGACAGCTGCGGGTCCAGCAACGGGTCCGACGACGGCAGCTGGGCCAGCGACGGGTCCTACGACGGCAGCTGGGCCAGCGACGGGTCCGATGACGGCGGCAGGGCCAGTTTTAGGGCCGATTACGGCAGCGGGTCCAGCGACTGGTCCTACAACGCTAGCTCCAAGACCTACTGGTCCTGCTACCAGAGCGCCATGGCCTACTGGGCCGGCCAGGAGGGCTCCATGGCCCAATCCAAGTCCTAGTCCTAGACCGAGGGAGGGAGCGGCGGTGGCGACGGAGAGGGTGGCGAGGGCGGCGATAATCTGAAATAACATTTATCAAAGTTAAAATTCGATGAAGTCAAATATATATACAGGGTGTTTGGTAAGTCGATGTATTCCTTGCAGGAGGTTATAGTACAAGTGATTTGTGATATATTTCCTCAATATACCTTATTCCGAAAACCCTTAGTTTCCGATCTACAGGGTGTTAAAGTTTTTAATAAAAATATGCGAATTTGAAAATATTGCGGAAACCGCTAAGAATATTTTAATGAAATTTTACAGGCTTTGACAGTTAACAACAATACATGTTTCACGATAAAAATATTGTTTTCAGTTTCACCAGTGGCGTGCGCACAGGCACCTCTCTGGATATTTTTAAAGAAAAAAATTATACGCCACTGATTTTTCTTAAAATAAAAAATATTTTTAAATTCCTTGTTCAATTTGGAAGAGAAAAGGTGTCTTGTCTGTTTTTCTTATGACGCACCGTTTTCGAGTAAAAAAATTAAAATTGATTTCGGTTTCAATAATTTGAAAAATATCAGAAACTAAGCGTTTTCGGAATATGGTATATTAAGGAAATCTATCACAAAGCACTTGTACTATAATCTCCTGCAAGGAATGCATCGACTTACCGAACACCCTGTATATTGTAAATTTTGCACTCTTTGACAAGTTTCTCGGATTATCTAATTTCTCTGTCTAAGTAAGAGAGAAGTGATTATCGAAGATAAAAAAAATTATTAATTTAGCAAACCGTGTATACTCTTACCCTTGGAAAATACAGTATTTAACTAGGTTTCAATATAAATAATAAATGTTATACAAGAACATTAGATAGAAAAAAATTGGATAATGAAATAAAGCAAGAATAGATTTTCCAGATTCTGCAGATATAAACTAGAACTATTTATATTGGTTTCAAAGCTCACACAATTGAAAATTGAAATCTGAAATTAATAGAAATCCATTCTTGTTACCCTCAAATGAAAAAACTATCTTTAAAACACCAAGCCGGTGGTGATTTATTTATTTTGAATTCTTAATTGAGAAAATAACAGAAAATATGCACAAATTATAACTATTAATTGCATTTTCAAAGGATTTATATACCTACTTTTCTTATATCTAGATTTTTAATAATAGTATAAGAACTTTTTTATTTTGAAATAAATGTCAGTTTATCTTTTGAAAAAATGCACATTTTTATATAATTTATTTAATAAAATGAATAACAAAAAATATACATTTTTATTTTTATAAGTGATGCAATTTAAAAGTTTAACAATATAGTCGACTTAAAAGAGACTTTACTATAAAACGCAAAGGCACACTACGAGAAAAGGGCCGGATTTCTTGAAAAATAGAACACGTGGTAGAATTCTGTATAAAAAATAGGTCTTACCAAGGCGTTCATGGTTGGTTGGTTCTTGTTTAGTGTGCAAACTGAACAATGTGCCTTCCATAGCGTTCACCCCAGTTTATATACTTAAACCCGACCTTCGGCATTGGTACGGAATTGTCATTTTTTAAATGCATGTTACACTGTACCAATAATTGTATTGCGGATAGGGCAACACCCATGTACGTGAAAATTACCGGGTAGTGCGATATGCGATTAGTCGGCTAGTTTTCATCCCGGATACGTCTTCCTTCTTGGTAGCTACCTGGTAAAATTGTCCCACACTGTGAGAAAATGTAAGTTAGTAAGTTATTAATTCTTCTAGAGGAACAGGTTTGACAAATACTGTTAAGTCAGGCCGGAAATTATTATCATATATTAATTATGACTTGCTCTAATTATGATGCACATATTCTTTGATTTCAAAACATAAACTACTGCTTCTGCAAAAATTATATTAATGCACAAGTGTGACTAAAAACAAATTGATTTACATTCAAAGTAGTCAACAACCTTTGGGTGTTTAGGTAAAAAATAATCCTATATTTAATTTATGTCCCCCAAAAACCTTACATGTACCAAGTTTTATTAAAAAAATTAAAATGTGAAGATAAATGTGTGTAATACTGATATACCCTGTATAAAATGTTTGTTGTAGCTTCAATAACTGTATTTTATTTAAGACAACTTTGTACATACCCTTCCCAGAAAATAATTATGGGACCATTGTTTTTTAACTTTACCCCATTCAAATAAATTTTAAAAATGTTTCAAAATGTTTGCCCAATTAAGGTCCAGTTACAGTGTGGTATATTAAAAAACACGTTTATGATACAATCCAAGAATCTAGCAGGCATTGGAAATCAGCAATATTAGTAATTAATTTTTCATCTTCAGGTTATTACAATAATTTCCCCTAGATTTTTTAACTGAATCAGTTTTTAATGAATTTAAATCTGTAAAATGTAAAAATTTTTCTACATCATAATTTGATGAAATTTGAAAAACAGTGATTTTAAATGAAGTCGATTAAGGCTACAAAGGGAGATTTTTAATAAAAAAATATGTCGGAAATGGTTTTCCGAACCGTTGTTCGAAAAAAATACAAGCCGGAGATTACCCAACTGGATAATCGTAAATAGTTCAACAAATAGTATGTAAAAGGCCAGTATTAGATAATTATCAGCGTCTGCCCTGTTTTTGGAGGTACTGTCGAAACAATCAATAGACCTTTTTAGTAGTGACGTCACATACGGCAAATAATAGGCAACCCCATTGTACATTTTGTCATGAAGAATTTCCCAATATTTTTACTAAATCGATTTTCGACCTTATGTACCTTGGACATAAGTGCCAAAAAAATTTCTTTTTAAGAAGTTTGAAAACAGTGACAAATTGAAAGAATTATAGAATTTATATATTTAAATTTGTAGAACAATATTGACTTTTATAGTAATTAATAAATTAAAATTGTATCAATGTTATCAATGTTACTGAGCATGCGCATTAAAGATTATTTCATGTAAGCGAAGTAGCTTCGCAACAGGGGATCATTAAAGAACACTTTGGTATTGGTTAAGAGTACGTCTATAATAAACTATCTGAAGGGAAAATACTCGATAAACACACTGACACAGCACAACACTAAGAAAAACAATAAATAAACTTAATATAACTAAAAAATGACAAGATTAAACAGAAAATAAGCTAATATTGACAACAATAACATATCAATAAGATCTTACCTACGTATGAGGCTACTCTTTATGAGGATCTGCATTAGGAATAACATGGCTAATGTTAAATTTTTACTTTATTAAATTTAGGAATATTCTTTTATATCGTTTTTTGTAAGTTTTAAGCACATTAGGCCCGGTACTTTAAGTCTGATACTGAAGTATAATACTGATTTATTTTATAACGTATAATCACAGTCTAATCGCCTGATTAGTTAATCAAGCCTTAACCGAGACTCAAAGTACCGGGCCTTAATGTATCTATTTTACCAAACACGTGTTGGTTGTTCTTAAATACTTCCAAATCTTTGTAAGAATAAATTAATTTGAAGTTGTTCATTTTTATAGTATCTATATAAATAGTGCACAAGGGTCAGATTCGGTCTGTACAATTTCAACTATGACAATTTGTTGCGGGTTGCCTAAATATGCGACGTCACACAAAAAGAGCCTATTGTAGTAATTTAAATTAGCTTGACTTTAATTATTTTTAAAGTAAAACACAGCTTTTAAAAGAAGAACAAGTTGTTGCATCTTATTGTGTACCAAAGAGATATGTAAATTGGGCATGTCGGTATGCTTTTTTTTTAAATTTTTTGAAACGTCTAAATGTGAAGTGTGGACAATTATTGTAAAAAAAATATATCACGACATCTTAATCGACAGCATGATGTGGCATTCTAATGCAGTGTCAGGCGACTACACGATACACCCACTTTTTGTATTGAACCTCAGATATTGATTAACGTGTATCATTGAATATTTATAACTACTTGTACTGTACTGTACTGAATTAGTAGTCATTCAGCGACTATAATTACTATACTACATTTAAATTTTATTAGTATTTACTAGAATCCAATAAATTATTGTTCTTCAAAAATGTCGGTATGGTAATTTTTAATTTATATTCGGCAAAGATGTGAATGGAAGAGCTTGAAGTTTAATTTAAAATGTGTTCAAAAAATACATAACATTTCAGAGCAGGTTGACTAATTTCTAGTTATACAGAGTGTTAGAAGATTGACTGCCTTAATCTTAACATACTATAGAATACACTGGAATAAACAACAAAACCTTATATGACATGGGTCCTAAACTCAACCATTTCCGAGAAAAAAATTATCAAAATCTCCAACTTAATGTACAAAAGTTCGATTAATTAAGGAATATTGACAAAACTGCGTGCATAGAATATATAAAATATAATGTTTATCACTTTTTTGAACTTCTTTATGCTTAAAATTTTAAATAAATTTAAAATTTGATAAAATTCATATCGAGCAATGTGACAACGGCGCGGCGGATAACACGAGGTACTAAGCTGTCCAGCAATACGTAATTACGTATATCAGTTGGTGCTGGTATCTGGAATTGGACCGTGTCAAGAGTGTTTTTTGCGTACCACTATTTCCTTTTCTTGAGGTGTTTTCCAGCGAATATTGGATTCGAAGGTGTCGTGCGTGCATCGAAAATAGTGGTGGACATTTTGAACATATGTTGTAGTTTGTCTTGTACTGCTACTGAATTTTGCTTTTTGGTAAATACCTAAATTATTTTTAATACGTATGATTATTTGGGTACTTTAATTACATATTTTTCAAATTCATAATTTGATTAAAAGTTCCTGCTTCAAGAGATTACTAAAATCCGAGCTAAAATTTAACCACAACACTATCTTCGTACTACAAAATCGATACAGTTTATTTTATTTATTTAAAAACTGGAAAACAATTGTCTTGAAATTTACCAAATAGTTGTTTACATTTTTGTTATTCCATAGGACAAGTCTGCCGCCATTTTTGTTCATTCATGATTACTCTATATCATGCTGAAGTAATGGCAGTCAAACTTCTTACACCCCGTATAAACATTTTGGAGTACCTTATGAGAGATATGACACTTGGGAGACAATATCAATACCTTCAGTGGTAGGAGCAGTCCTAAGTTTGATTGGGTAAAAGCTAGTTCACACTGAATTTATTGATTCTTTGGTGAAATAATGGAAATTAATTAATAATTTGACTGTTGGATAAAGTTTTGCTAACACGTAGCTTTGATTTTTGATTATAGGATTGGTAGTGTATATGTTTTATTTTAATATTCTGTAGTGCTAGTGCTCAGAACGCCCGGAAAGTGGAACGGAGTTTCCCTTACTATTAATATATGCGTAGTTGCTACACATACAGTGACGTTAAGTAATTCAAGACAATTACAAAATTCGCAATTCGCTTACATAGATCAATTATGCGACAAATATTAAATACATTCAAGATCAAGATTAGTCAATCATTGTGTAAGAAATACATGTTTTATTATAGTTTAAACTTTAAAACCGGAATTATTCAGTTATACAGGGTATATTCAAATATGAGGTTTATTATAGAAATATATTACAATAAATAAAGATACATACCATATAAATAATAGACATCTAACTCAAATACAATTAAGTTTGGGACAGAGAAGTTTCTGAAGAAAAAAATCGCTAATACAATTTTTTCAAAAGGTACTGACACCCCTTTTTTATTTTAGGGGCGGACGCCTTTGGCTAAAATTAAATTTAATTATATCAAAATAATCACAAAAAAATTTTCTGAAACGTTGGCTTACACCAGTTTTTCTGAGTACAAAAGTAAAAAGGATAAAGGGGATAGAATATGAATAATCCTGTACATAAGCTCGATATCAATCAACACTTAAATTATTATCTTATTAGACAGAGACCTGCCTAAAAGAGGATAGACTGCATGTGCGTTTAACAGAAGTAGGTAATAGGACACTTAGGTGATAGTTCTCTTAACTTATCGACATAAAAATTGTTGATTAACGACCAAAACCTTGAAATATCAGCCAGCTCGAAGAGTGTCATGTGGAGAACTGTCTACGACTTCCTTATACGCCAAGGTAATACAGCGAATCCAATAAAAAGTATTGTATATCCTTAATTTAAATCCCATCGAACATATATCTCCAAAATAGTTGTTTGATTTTTACAAATGACATTACAATTATTATTCACTTTTGGCTATAATTTTTTTGATAAAATATACAGATATTTGCAAATATTTTAAGATGATTAAAGACATTGTCAGAGAAATTGCACAGTTATAGTGTGGAACTGGTGATTTTCCTTTACACCTTTATTATAAAACAAATCAAGAGGGCTTGGTCTAATCAAAATTGCAATTTCTTCCGATTTAAATGATCTCCAATGTACCCAGTGAACAGTGAGGCTAGAAATACTTGATCTACATCGTGTTGGCGACGAGAAAAGCTTGACCACGATGACGTGACATTCTCTAGGCGCGACTACTCCTTGCAGATATGCATGAATGGTTCTCGGTGTTAAGGTCGCCGGTTAATAGAAGACTTG